CCCAGCCACACAATCTCACTTTAGAAGACATATGTTTGCGACCTTTCTTACAGAAACTCCTTCACACCACCGGAGGACACTATATAAAGTAGGTAAAGCATACTTCATGAACCTTTGAAGTAAAGGGAGAAATGGTAGGTTCTGAGAGCTAATGTTAAAACATGTCTTCAGACTTTTAACTAGTATTTTTAAAAAGCATTTAGACAGCTACTGATTTATGCAAATTAGATATTGCTTCTCTGAAATTAACTAGCACCAGCAATAATGATTTGTGAAGCTTACACAAGTATGAAATTGAAATTACAAAGACTATAGATTTTAAATATAGCTAGTGTGAGAAGTTATACACTGAAATCCAGAAAGTCGTTCAAAAGATTACCAAGGTTACTAAATATGGCTTGAATTGCATAAGCATAAACAACGCATTCAATTCTGTCCACAAATACAGCTCTTATACAATAAATTAAAGACCTAACATCTAGTCTATTTACATTCATCATTCGTTTAGACTTTGATTCCAAGTAGAATTCTGATACATTTAACTTTGTGCGTTTAGGCATAATCTTAAACAATCTTTTTAGCAAGGTTAAAGTCAGAAACATGTTATTGTAAACTTCAGTTGTGCTTTCACATACTATATGCTAGGCACCCTCTCCAAAACAATGCAGTCCAAATAGCTGCATTTTGATAGAATCACAGAATCACTAAGGTTGGAAAAGCCCTCCAAGATGATCTGGTCCAACCATCCCCCTACTACCAATGTCATCCAGTAAACCACGTCCCTAAATACCACGTCCAACCTTTCCTTAAACACCCCCAGGGACAGTGACTCCACCACCTCCCTGGGCAACCCTTTCCAAGGCTTGACGACTTTCTGAAAAGACTTTCTCACTGTTGCCTTGTTTTCGTTGAAACTGTTTCTCTTCTTGATATAAATATCCTTTGATATAAATACCCCAAAACATTTGAAAGCTAAGAAAGTAAAATATTAGAGAGCATTCATGGGGTTGTTTTAAAAAACATATACAGCATTGGGGCACAAAATACTGCCCTGACGTAGAGAGCTGTACAAGGGAAAAGCACAGTCCTGACTCTGAATAGCTTGCTTCAGTCATACTTCTCTCTCACTTCCAAATTCTAGGGGGAAATTTAGTCTCCAATACCACTTAGAAGCTGTACACTCTCCAATTGCCACTGGTTACTGGCCATCACTGTTCAGGTATGACATTAGGCTGAATCAAGATTTGAACAATGTAGTCCTAGTAGAGAACCTGAATTTTCACTGGAGTCTCTACTTCCCCCTCAGTTGGTTCGAAAAGGAGTTTTACTCACAGCTCTTCCCAACCCAGCAATAAGTTATAAGCCAAGTTTATGCACAAGCAGACTGAAGATATGAAGAAAAGGAATCTAATTCAAAACAACGCACAGCAATCCATTCTAAAACTCTGCTAAAGGTATCTTGAAGCAAATGTAAGACTAGGTAATTAAGAGATTTAAAATGAGCAAGCCCTGAAAAAAAAACTGCTAAGTTCACAGACAAAAAATGAAGGAAAAGAAGTTGTTTGAGTTACAGAAGTTAAAACTAGATAGCTTATTAAAATGTTTACAATAACACAAAAGAAAATGAAACTAGCAGGTAGAAAAAAAGTGGAAAAACACATTTCAGCTTTTCTCTTAAAAATCATTTACCGCTGGAAAAGAAAATCCACAACATGACTGAATGCAGGAGCTTTGATGAATTACAAAAATAGAGAAAATATCTTTGCAGGATTCAAGTACACAGTCATAATTAGACTGGATGAGAAATAAAGGTATAATTATTAATATTTTTAAAACGGTATCTTCATAGTCTGATGGAAACGAGGGAAAAAAATCACTATGAATAAGGTAAAAAAAATACATGAAAAAGTGTATCTTGTATCATGTTTGAAATCAATGTTAACAAATATGAGCTGCAAGACAAACTAATAGCAAACTATTAATTCTGAAAGTAGAAGTTAACATAGTGTTTCCGCACAGATAGCATACAGGCTTAGTTAACCATTTGTATTAATTATGTAAAATTCTTACATACCAGCTATTGTTGTCATCAGTAACACCTAATCCAACTTTATCAAGTTAAAGGCTTACCCACAGTTTCTGTCTACAAAGACAGAGTTAACTACGATGAACCACTACAGTGAGATCCAAACAAGTAAAATGCATTCTGTTCTCTTAGGTACATGGGAAAAAAAAAATCTCAGTTGCATTTGTATCTGTAACTGAAGATAAATCTATGCAAAACAAATGGCAATTTACTTAAGAGCAACAAATACACAATTCAACAGTCTTATAATTGCACTTGTTGATTGTAACTGTAAGCAAGGCTGATTACGCTGTTAGGTAAGTGCATTTGCCAATTTCTTGCAAAACAAAACTGAATTGAATAAAACATGTTCACAGGCACAAAGTACATAGTTAGGAGAGCACTGAAGTAACTGTTTTCAAATTATTCATTTTTTTCTTCCTTATTTTAAATTATTTTGAATTATCTGCACAGTAAGTGCAGAAAGGACAGACCAAATTGGTCATCACTGTTGAAATGCACCACTGAGATGTTTTTTCCATAACTGGATACAACTAAACTTTATATGAGAAGTTGTCTGAAGGTCACGCTTTTTTTTTTTCCCCTCAAACACACAGTCAGCCCCAGAGCTAATGAATTAAAAAAAGTCTTTCCTTTGCTCAGAACAAATAAGGTGTTAGCGAATCCCACACAGCTACGAAGTGTCTAATAAGTCTTCAGAGGTTGGTACTTTTCATTTTGTTATACAACCTAGGTGTACGAAAACCAAGAGGTAATAAAGCCTAGTTTAGAAAAAGAAACCAGCATGGTGCCACAGGTGTGAACCTCCTCTTCCATAGTTAAGCTGAAGACAGAGGGGAGTGGAGAAAAAAACAACCACCACCAGTCATAGTCAGTGCTATAGGAAAGCTAAATGATCCGAGATAAAGAGGTTATCAGAGATAACTTTATAACCTGCTAACAGGACACCACAGACGTTCTCTTGCAAATTTGGTTTTGTAGAAAAGCCAAGACCTGAAGAGAACTTGAAAGACATCCTAAGAATTCAAGCAGAAGAACAAAGTCTTTATTAGACCAGTAGCCATAAATCTTCCACTGTGTAATGCTGCATTTGTCAACGTATCAGTCCTCTGAAAGTAAATTTAATCTCTACGTGAGACATACCACCGTATGTGTAGATAGGTGCTCTACCAGGGGAGATGCCAGCTCACCAGTGCAGCAGCTATGACACAACACAGTGCAGCAGTGAGTGGATTGCTTCAGAACAACCAGACAGCCTTCTCTCCATTTAGCGCAAAAGAAAACTGGCAGGTATCACAGGAGCAGCATAAGAAATGAACCTTGCCTTCCTATGGATTTCTGTACTATGTCTTACATCGCCTATTTATTCTTACTATGTCTTTTCTTCAATGCTTTTGGTTCTATTTCCCATAATCATGGATCCCTATCCCCTACTACTATACTAGCTGTAGAAAGGTGTAGATGTAGAAAGGGGCAAGAGAAAGAAGGGGAAAAAAAAAAAAAAAAAAGAGATGAAGAGAGTTAAACAGTAACACCAGGTAAGTCTCTTTTCTGTATGAACAATGACGTATCCACAGTCAGTTTAACCTACCCAGACAGCTTTAGGAACCTGTGCTTCCCCTCAATGAGAAAAAAAGGGGAAAGAGGGAGTTTCTCTCCTATAGGCTCTCAGTTATTCACAAGATTTAATTTTGAATTACACTCCTAATGTTTTGAGCTAAACTAATTGTTTTGGCTTGAACCATTCTTAAAGCTCTTTTCAGTTACAAACCAGGACAAGGAAGCTGACATAAATCAGCACTGCAGCCCAAATACTGCAAATATATTGAAATTTATTTAAACTAAACATTTAAGGAAAATACCTGTTTAATTCCATCAGTGTATATGCAGAAGAGGCAAGTATGGTCTATCTGCTAGTACAAGCGTAAGAAGTTGAAAAAGGCTTCAGGGAAAAATGTAGTTCTCACTCATCTAATTAACTGCATGAGAGATGAACTATGTCTAACCCTTACATGAGTGGGTTTAGGCATTTTCTAATACTGGGTAGTATTTTGGAAGACAAACCACAGTTTACATATAATTACTACAAATGATCAAAGGGTCATGGGAACATTATTTATTTCCTAAATTGTACTGAAACGTCCATTGATACATTCATGTATATTTTGTAGGTGAAATACATGAACACATGAAAAATCTTGTTTTGTGAGAACAAAGTTTTTAAGCATTATTGCACCAGAAAAACAATGAAACACAGATTAATATAAAAGTTTACTCTCAATTAAAAAATAAATAAATAAATACATAAATAGTACAAGAAGCAAGAACTCTTCTAAAAAAACACCACCACTACCCAAAAAAAAGAAAAAAGAAGAGGGCAAAAACCCCACACCACCATCTACCAGAAAAATTGGAAAAAACATACAACTAGTAAAACTAGGAGGTAAAATAGAAGGGTGTTATATCTGAAATCCTGAAATAACTCCTATATCCTGAAATAACAAGACTCACAAAATGTGCGGTCATTCAGTAGGTTGTTTGTACATAAGGAAATAAATTGTCACCTTACAATTGCAATTGGCAATTCAATATATTTAAATCTGAATGTACCAGAACAATGTCCCCATGCCATTATGGTGAAGACTAGCTGGAAATTAATAGTTTAATTACAAAGTGAACTTTCCTTTTTTTTTCCTGCCATTAACAGAGGACTTGGTGACCTAGGTGAAAGGAAAAGCTTGCACAGGTCTTCAGTACAGAACTATGTATCCCATATTATTATTTACTTTAGCAAAATTGCATATGTAATACAAGTAATAAAACACTAAACGATTCAAAATGTCCAAAATTAATTCATTTTAAACAAAACCACTATGAATACAAACTGCGTAACAACAACTCAACCATCATTTACCGTGTTTCTGATTGGAATTTTCTTCGGTTCTGGTGGCACATCCTGAGGAACAAATTTCACTGGCTCCTTAATCTGTCTCCGTGATCTTTTGGTCCCATCTGGTAAGGTTTCCATAGCAATATCAGCTTCCATGTCACTGCTACCTGCCTGGTCACACTCTGAGCACTGCCTGCAAAGTGAAAGATTTCCTATTTAAAACTGCAGTCACAAAAGCACAAAAAGAAATGTTTCTGAAGCAGCAAAAAAAGCGTTTGGGTTGGAAATAAATCAATTAATGTCAGTAAACACAACAGTATCTAAAGGAATCTCCGAAATGATTAAACAACTATGCGGGAAAACGGCAAGACTTTCTCTGTTGCTGTGGGTTTTTTTTTTGCTGACAGTATTTAAACTTTGAAAACCAAGATTTTGAAAGTAGGATTTAATCTTCAAGAAAGATGCTTCCTATTTCACTATTCATATCCTACCATATCCCTTTTTTTTTTAAATGGTGTCCACTGATCTGTAATCTATTCATTATTGAAACTGCTGCTGCAGTTTAATCTTTACAATGACACAGTACTGAATTCATTCTGATGAGAGCGGTCCTTAGTAGCAGGGATTTGGAAGAAATGTCTGTTATGAAAATCAATTTTAAAATCTATTTCCTAAGGGAGATGGTTTTGAAACAAAAAAATAGCTGAGACAAAGATGTAGAACTTGTAGGTGTATATTACCAATCATTGAACATTTAGTTGAAAAAAAATGCCTGTTGAGTTTCTGAAAAAGCACAAATCGCAATCAAGCTTCCAAAGTATACAGACTCTAAGGGAAGGTTACTAACAACGTCCATGATAGAATTAACAAGATGGGAAATCATCAAGTTGTGTTCTCATTTGCAGAAAATACTCATCTTGTGCAAAGTCATAAATGCAGATGTTAACTAAAAACATCAAATATAAAAGCTTAAAAATGATACCCACTGATAAAGACTGCATTTTTTCCTCACATAAAATTTTCGGTTCAGCAAATTATAAATCCTTTCAAACAAATTCCAATTCATCACTATTTTCATGTTTTTAAAATGTTCTTTTTTATAATATTAACTAAAAAATAAAAATGCATATTCTGCTATTAATTGGCATTAAAACAGACACATACATTAACCATTACCTAAATGAAGTTGCAAATTCTCTTTGGAAGGAGACATAAAATACATGTATTTGGTTATTTGTAGTTAATACATCCTTGAGACAAGACAGTGTGTGTCTCCCAGATCTAACCAAAAGCACAGTCATGTGCTTTGTGTATGAGCTGATTTCTTTTTTATATGTTTACATATAAATATGTATCAATATTTTTATATGTTTACATATAAAATATATGCATGTATACGTATATATAATATTATATATATATATTATATTATATATATAATGTTCACCAGAAACACTTTTGCTCCTATGAGCTTCAGTAAGGGCTAATATAATATTAACTCATTTGATTTTAAAAACCTAATAGTCATGGTTTTATTTTTGAAAAGGCATCGCTGAGCAGACATATATTGCCCTTATTCCAAATTCCAACTCTTCTTCAAGTCAAGAGAAGAGAACCACAAATACAACAGAAAACATGTTTTAATTCTGTTTCTAACAAAGGCTTGTTCTGATGTATGATTCCGTAAGTTCTTTTGTTTCTGTTGGTATTTTAAGAAGTGAATTAATGGTTATATTGCCTGTTCCAATAGGAAACAAAATTTATGCTGTGTTTTTTGTTTGGTTGTTGTTGTTATTCTTTATTAAAAACAAAACAAAAACAAAAAAACACAACCACAGAGCTTTCCATGCTTTTCCAGTTTTTCTAATTTTTCCAAATTCATCCAAGCAGTATAGTCTCAAATCTCCTCTGGCTCTACCTGCAGATAATGGCAGTTTTCAGAGCCCACTAGACAGTCCAGTGGCTGACAACAAAAATAGAGGGGATCCAATTCCAGATTGAGTAACTGTTATCAGTGTGACCTTGGCTAAGTCAACACCTTTCTGCTTTAATTTCTCCATATGTAAAAGTAAGATAATTGTTGGTGTGTTGTAATGTTATAAAGATTAATCACTTCTTATCTCTAAAGCACTTGAGCCCACTGCAAATAGGACACACAGCAGTGCTGGTGGTATTTGCTGATCTAGAAAAGCAGAAGTACTACGAGGCAGACTGCAGGGAAGATAACACTGTATGGAGACTTCATCAGTAGCCAGACCACAAGGAAGTTAGTTTATACAGCTTTTATGCTTTGCAAACAGTAGGCCAGCATTCAAGAATATAACATGCAATTAATATTCTTCTTCCTCTCTACAGACCTCTGTTCTCTACACACACCGTGCTGTTAACATTTCTAGGCCTCCTTGGTATGCTAATAATAAGTCCAATAAAAATACTGAGAAAAAGCTAGTAAAAATAAAACCAATAATAAATTATAAGGTAGAATAACTTTTCCAAAACGCTGCTTTTTTGAGTTATATATTTACAGACATTTGTGTGGATAAACATGCACAAATAGACAAACTTAAAACAACTAAACAGAAGCTCACAGACCTAAGTATTATTACCTTCTATTACTGTAAGTTTATAGAAGAAAGCTCTCTAGTGATCTAAGGGGAGAAGAAAGCTTTAGAGATAACAGCATTCCCTCAATTATTTTTTTGTTTTTTTTACTTAGCTAAAGGTTACTTCTTGTAGTTTTGTTCAGTTGCATATGTCCCATTGCCTTTAAGTAGTCCAAGCCAAACTCCAAGGAGCGTTTCTGCTTAAGCGTCACAGACCCTTGCCCTTCATAACACTGCAGCATTGGTCACATCATTAATTTCTCCAGTAGAAAGGAGACAAAGTATTTATTATGATCTGCTTATGCAGATGTAAAAAATAGCTGCAAACATGTTCCCAGAATACTGTGATGAGCAACTTGGACGAAAAGTTTCTTCCTTTCTATTATTATGGTAAAAACATGCACTATACATAAAAATTAAAAATAAGCATTCTACAATTAAAGTGCTGCATAAAACTGAAGTTTTTGTAAGACAAAAAATAGTGGCATGAACTTACAAAAAATGTTTGGAGTTGGGAACCCCATCTCTTGGATGTGCCACCCTGCACCTAGGATTTCCACTCTTTAGTTCTGGGCTAGTGAAAGAGAAAGATGCATTTTTCTCCTACATAAACTCAGGCAGTTTTACAGAAAGCTATGGAGACCTGTAAAGTACTTCAGTTTCACTAGGGCACCATTTAAACATAAATAAATAAGTTACTGTAATTTTTATGTTAGAAAGGAAGAGAAACATTTCATCCGGGAGAAAAAGATGCTGCCTGCAAGTTTCTGAAATTCTATTTCTATGCCCAAGCTTGCTCTGCAAACAGGTCATGTAACTGTCACAGCAATCAAATTCAGAAAATAGTAAGATGTACAAAAAACAAAGCTGCAAAACCACAATATATTGGGGGACAGGGGAGTAAACACAGAGAATAAAACCTTACAAATATACTGAAGATGAGGTTAAAAAACAACAACAACAACAAAAAAAAAACGAAAGCTACAAACATGAATTTACAAGGAACCTCTTGATTTACTGGAATAGTCTCTACTATCACAGGCAACCACATCTTATCAACCCTTTTATAGAGCAGTCAAGCTTCAGCTATAGAGTTGTTTGGTTGTTAGCTCCCATGGGACCCACAGAAAACCTATTACAGAAATACACTCCTCTGACTTGGAAACAATCTCCTAACTTTCAGCTCCTATTATGGTTTATTTCAACATGGTTCTTGAATTTAAAGTACCCTTTTTCCCATTCTGCTGTTTAATTCCAATATATTTATAGAGAGCAGACACAGGACTTCTATTCCTTCTCTGGCAGTGCTGAAGTCATGTTCATTTTAGTTCATCTCTTCAAGGACAGGCAATGAATAGAGAAACCTATCACAACAGGTCATTTTTCCATCTGTTCAGACAATCTACAACTACATCTTAATCAGAAAGCATTGCCATGCAGCACCAGTAATTTAATAGGAAAAACAGTGCTGAAGATTCAATTTCTGTACGCAAATTTTGGTTTGCTTTTACTCTGGATTTGCATAATCCAGCCTTGGAAAAATCAATAATTGAATGTGATCTTCTGGACTCATCTGAAAGGAATGCTGTTACCATGCTCCATGATCCACAACGTGAACCCAAAAGCAGCAAGTGTGAAAAGGATTTACTCCAAACACACACTCCTGATACAGATTAAAATGTTAAAATAGATTTGCCCCTTGCAGAAAATGGGAGACCATAACTGAATATGATGTTTTGGACATATTACCAATTTCTTGCTATTAAGTCATGCTCTTGTGCATTTTCCTATTTTTCAGATGTAGGTTAAAAAAAACAAACAAACAAAAAAAGTATGAAAAAGGTAAAATTCTTTGCATTACTGGATATCAAGTAAACATGATAAAATCGACCTGACAGCCAAAAGAAACATTTTCAACAAGAAAAGTCTACTCAACAGAAGCACGACCCTAGACTTTACTTAGATGATCATTGTTGAGGGAGCTTTCATGTTGATCATAATGCTTCTTTCTTGCTTCCATTTATTTGAAAATAACTAAAGAAAGAAAAAGTCTTCTGCTTTTGAAAGACAAGAACAAAAACCAGATTGAAATGAAAGCACTGCAACACCTCTTTGGTTCAATGCGAAATGGTATTACCTAAATCTTCAGACCTATCCATCTATCTAGTTGTGTATTTGTCATACAAAAAAATAAATCCCTTCATCAAGAAGGATAATGCTACCATGGTACTATTGTAACAATCATAACAATCATAACTCTGTGCTACATGATACAGATACTGAACGTTACTTTTTACACCACAAAGCATTCTGAGACTCACACTCAAACTCTGTTTCTCTAACATGAACCCTTTCTGAAGAAAAAAATCAGTGGAAAAGACGCCTAACAACTACCAGAAGCAGGTGAAGATCCATGTCTGATAACTGATGATGTGTCTGCTAAAAATTAGTGGAAACATTTGATCCATGAAGAAGTCTCAGTAATGATTAAAAACTTTTTAATTTTAGAAAAGGCCTTTGATCAAGCACTAACAATAAACTGCAGAAGATAAGCAGCAGCATGTTTTTGTCATCACATTTTCAATCTAACACCTGCCTACTACTTAGTATAAAGACCTGTGGTACAAGAAACACCTCCCCATCTCACAGTAAATGGATCTTCTGAACTCACTAGCAAAAGACAGGAGCAGCAAATGAACAGGAGCACACATTATTAATTTTCATAAATTATTAATGGTCCAGGCTAACACTGAAGCACCACTTTTTGTGTACCTCCATGATGCAAATATTTCTTCATTGTCTAAATAACCAGTAGTGAATTTATTTTTGAGCAGGGGCAGCTTCAAGAAATGTGTGAACCTAAAATGGGGCTTTTCTTTGGTAGGCACTCAAAGACCAAAGAGTGTTGTCTACTTACGAAATTTTATAAAACAGTTGCACAAAAATATATTTTAACCCAGAAATTTAGGAATTTATAAAGACCTACACTGATAATACAAACAGGAGAGGGACAATTTGGATTTATTAATTTATTATTTAGGTGATGTAGAAATGAAACCAGAAGAGAGAGAACCCTGTTACTTCTCCAAAAGAATTAGTGCAAACAATGACATTACGATGTTTCTTTGTGCTACAGCTTTATATACATCAAAGAATCTAATGTGCTTTACCTAATGACAGGTCTGGCACATAGCAATTTGTGAAATGATGAGAAAACTGAAGAAAATTGAACACCGTCCCTTTATAATCGAAATGTCACAAAGTTGAAGATCTCACAAACAGACCTCAAATCCAACACACTGGTAAGCTTTATACAAACCTGGTTTTAATTTTAATACTGAAGCAAAAAAAATCTTTGCTATACTAGACAGAAAAGCAGACAAAACATATGAAAGTATTTTAAACATTTAATAGATAACATTACTATAAATATTATGAAAAAGTGAGGTCTTGTTCTAATATTATAGAACAATCAGACTGCCAATTAGACTGCCTTAACTGCCCTATGCTACATACTTTCAGAGTGGCTTATAAGATGACAATACAGAAGTCAAAAATACAATACTCAGTCCAAACAAGATAGCCATTCTTATAGTCAAAACTGGCCAACAGACAGAGGATTTGGAAGAAATTAGTATCTTCAGCACCCAGTGTTTAATGTGAAAAGGGTAAATTTCAATTCTCTGTGCTTGAGGAACAGCACTCAGTATGCTTTAAGAAAACAGTTCTGCCCTCACTTTGAAAGGGAAAACTGTTCAGATAGATTTCTAATTATGAGAAAGTATCTCTAGTAGACATATGCTGTGATAAATCACCTCATCAAATTTCAGCAAAGAATTAAACCACTCTGAACTTGAGAAATGTGGACCATAGTTTTCAGATGACAGCTATGCTCTGGAAATTTGAACGAATAACATGTGTTGACTGGTATACTGGAAGAGGAGAAAAAAGAGGAAATAAAAAGACAGTATGTACGCACCAAAAACAATTTTTCAAAGAGCTTCAAAGAATATCTGCCAGGGAATAACGCTACTGAAAATTTGCCATTTGCAACCACCCAAACATCCTTTAATTAGGGCAAGTGAAAAAATCCAAAATTTTATATATGAAATACACAATATTGTATTGCACATGTGCTTATATTTAAGAGACTAATTTTATACCATCATCTAATGACTCCAGATGAAAAAAACTGTCTGGCTCAGTACTGAATAAGTGGTCTCAGGAGTATAATGAACGGCCAGATACGGAATGAGTGTTTATAGGGCTGTTGTTCAGGGACTCCAGAGGATTCATTTTGTCCTCTGGCCAAAACAAATCCCCACAATGGTACCACCAAAATAATTTGGCCTTCAGGAACAACAATAAAAAAACATCAAGACTAACATGATTATTAGTCCTTTTTTTTTGGTCAATCTCAGTCCCTGGCATTTCATATGCTACCTCAGGTTATCACCGTTTTTCAAAGATGTGATTTCAATAGGAAGTACTGGTCTCTGTTGGTAGTTGACAAGTATTTTCTTAATAAAAATGCCAGTATTTCATAATCTGATTTCTTTTTTTTTTTTTTTTTTTTTGTATTCTCTTTTAGCAGCTGTATTGTCTTTGTATTGGTTCAGGTTATTCTCTACCACGAAAATACTCTCACTCCACCTAGAATGGAAGGGAGCATAAAAACACACACTCTAAGAGAGAATGACAAGGCTTACTTTTACGATAATGCAAGATTTAGATGAATATTCTAGTATTTAATCTTACTATGTTAAAAACAAATCATTTCTAAAATGTTCAAGATGTTACCCTGCAGAAAACTATCAGGCCTCTGAACAGGAGGAAATTCTTAGTGTTAAGCACTTGGAACCTATTTCTTATAAATTCTGAGGCACTGTTACTCACCAGGTAAATTCTTACTATGATTTTGCTAAATCTATCATCACCACCTCCTTTTGATGTTTAGAAATACTCTGATTAATACTTACAATGTGCACTTTCTTTAATAAGTTAGCATTAAATGTGACAAATATTTTAATGACTTTGTTACCAACATTTAATAGTGGATTTATTTCAACAGTTTCAAAATCCACTTTTGTAAACTGCACTGTAAATTTCTATTTAACAATGAGCATGGACAAAAAGAAAAAAGGATTAGCTAATCCACATAGCACCACACACATAAGCTGAATCATTTAGCATCCTCAAAAATAGTATGAAACACTAAGCATATGGCATAAACTCATGCTAAACTAACCAAAGTTTAAATGAATATGTAGCAATAAAGCATATGAGAGCTGATTAGTTGTCAAACTTCCTGTAAATGCTTAAGTTAGTAATTATGAGCAAATGATTACCAGTGATGATGTAATGACAAACAAAATGCCGTATGATGTAATGATAACGTAATGCAATGTAAAACAAAAATCGAGAAACAACATTTTTAACCACTTTAAATATTTCAACCTGCCTAATGTTTCAAGGAGTTTCCCACAACACCCTTTTTCTTACTTCATCTTTTTGCTTAAGTGCCCATTATATCCTATACAAATATATGAAAAGTACATGCCCCCTGTATAAAAAAAAAAATCACTTTTCTTCATGGCTTAATCAAAAGATTAGAAATACATTCACAACAGCAGGAGGGAAAAACCTGCTGAACTCAAACTTAATTTAAGGGTCCATTAGATATGCTCTCTACTGATCCTGAAAAAGAATGCATGAAGGCATGTAAATGATGAAAAGAATGCAATCAATACAGATCAATTTGACTGCTATAACCTCAGACTCCAAAATATGCCTTAGCTAATTAGATGTAAAAGCTAAGTTTGTGATCTAAGATATAACTGAAGCATAAAATTCACAACAAAGATATGTCAGAACTTTGAAATAAAAGCATTTACCACCTGTCCTATTCTGCCTTTAACACCTACTGAGAACTGTAGTTTTACATCTTTTGGACTGATGGCTTTAGTGAGCCTTTTCAACTTGGTTAAAAAGCAGAAAAAAAATCAAGAACAGCCTGTGCAAATGTAGAGGTTACATTAAGAAAAAAAAAAAAAAAGCTTCCACGTAACAAACCCGCTTGGTAAATTTGACCAAAGGGATAAGAATGTCCTTGAAATAATTAGAAGTCCAGAATCACAGACTACATTAAATAACCTAAGGAAAATAGGAAAATCACATTCAGAAGTATATTAGTGATGGTGAAAATCTTTTCAATTTTTAAAGGAAATCTCAATTTACTGGGATAAATTCATGTTTTCTCAAGTTACAATAAAAAAAAAAAATCAATCATCACATTTATCCAAAAAGACTACTTAAGTAAATGTTTTATGGAAAAAATTAAGTGATATATGGAAAAAAAATAGAAGCACAGTTTTCTTGATTAAAACACTTTTAATGTATTTTTAGACAAGGCGGTAACAACTCTTGGAGATGCTGTATACTAACTTCTTGCCAGATAAGAACTGCTTCTAAGGAACTAGTTCTAGCACATTTCAGAGCAGTTTAGAAATCTACAGAATACAGCAACACACTAATTTTATGACAGTTTAGAAATCAGCACCTCTATGCATCATTTCTCCATTGTATCGCTTAGCTTTTTACACTCCACTGCCAGAAAAAGAATTTTAATTCATGGAATTAAGTTGCGTTAAGTACAATTACACATACGCTTTTGCCATTGCAGAAGACGGAAGTAAACCAGAGTGATTTCCTATATTGCAATATAATAATCTAGTAACTAACAAATATGCTTTTAATTATGTACAAGTATTTTCTTAAAGACCCAGACAGAAAAGTTGTATATCTGGACCCTAAGATAAACAGAATACCATGCCTTTCATTTCCAGAAGCACAATTAAACCTATGGTTTCCTGCCATTACTACACAGCCTTGTTAATAATTGCAGATAAACTCAAAAGCTAAGCGAATTAAAGCTATAATCTATTTGTATGAAGTGGCTAATGAGAAATCTTTACTACACAACTTTTCACCTTCAAGCATCAGTACTGAAAATAAAATAACTCACTTCAGAGTGAGTATCGCTTCAATATCAGTGATGTCTAAAATTCTTAGAATTTGCAAGTCTACTCATGCTTATTTCCTACTTTAAGTACAGAGATAGCACAAGATAAAACATAAATTGTATTCTTACCAATAACTGTTCTTAGTCTTCCTTGGCATCCTTGTAAGAGGTGGATCCAGACAACCAAGATGATAATGTAGTTTGCAAGTGTCACACAGTAACAGTAGATGTTGGTCATGGTTCTTCTTGCAAATTCCACAACTTTTAATGTAGGCAGTGGAAAAGCATTATAATTACATTTGAAGTTACAAAAAATAAACGATACATCCCAGCACATGCCCCAGCTTCAATATAAGTATGTAGCAACTAATTTCACATAAGCACATAATTACTTTTTAAGGAGTTTGTATGTATACACATTAAAACATAGAAGGCACTTAATATAGCTAAAGACACCTTCAAACTAATTTTTAAAGATTTCTGACCAATACTTTTTGATACTTTTAGAAAACATATCCATGACAAATGGAAAAAAAAATTACCTTTACCATTCAAACACAAATAGAAAAATGATATTGCTACTATCAGTCTTAGCAATCATAATTATTTCAATAAAGCAAATGCCTTGAAACAGGTCTGCACTGTTACTACACTGGGCAATATATCAACTCATAAGAAATTACTTTTTTTTAATTATTATTTTACTGGAATTAACATTTTAGTTCAGTTATTTCAAAAAGATCAGATGTTCATTGATCCTATTATAAAAAGGGAGGAGCTAAATGACTGGATTTAAATACAAAAGAATTAGTAAAGTATGTCTCCTGTTATTTGTCCATATGTATAAATTGCCAAACCCTCAGCTCACTCTTGTATTTTCAGCTTGCACCACTCGGAGCACTAGAATCAACTTTGTTTATGTAATCCATCTCCTTTTTTTTTTTTTATCCTGCTAGCTGGGCAAGATACTGCCTATTTGCTGTGGCTAGAGGCCTGGCTGTTTACCTATCAATAAGCCAAAGACTGCCACTTCTAAGCTGGCGGCAAGAGAAATAGATTCAAGAGCACAGTCATGCTCTGGGACCCTGATATGGGGTCCACTGTTATGCTTAGTTAAAATCCAGTCAGTAGATTCATAACATACAGAAAGGAGAAGCAATAACAAAGTGAATACATTTTATTTTCTTGGGGAAAAAAATAGAAGTAGGGAAACTCAAAACACAAGATTTTCCAAAGCATTTGACAACCTGTGAACAAAAAGTAAATATTCTTATCTGACGGGTGCCTTATGCACTCAGCCACTGTGACTAAACAGCAGCAGCACTGTTTGCAAAATCAACACAGATGATTACATTCAAAAACACAAGGCGACCAGTTAAAATTTTTCATATCAAAGTGACAAAAGACTTCTATTTCAGATGTAAAGAGGTACCTTTGTTCTTATAAAGCACTGCTATCAAGAAAGAAAAAAAAAGAAAACACCTCAGTGATGTGTACTAATGTGAATAACTATTTCTTAAATTAGCCTTTAGAAGTAAAACATGACAACTCTGAAGCATTTTGTTAATCAGAATTGAAACAAACAATTTTCTCTTAATACTTTTTTGAAATTGCAACTTAATAAATATTTTATCTATTTTGTCAAGACTTCATTACTTGCCTATAAAGTACAGCTGGGAGCGTAGATGTCTTTTGTGTTCCTCCTTCCTTTTTACTTGGTTTTCTTTCCTTAGGAGCACGTAAAATTGCAGGTATGTTCAATTTCTATTGGATTTGAACAAATGCAGTACACATGAGTCTTGGGACTTTTAGAGAATACCATTCTAATCTCAATGTATGGAGGACAGGACTCAAATTGAATGGGAAATGGCTTAGCCAGCTATTTTACAGACAAAAGCAACTACATATATTTATATTACAAGATCAAATTAGGGTAATATTATAATTTCTCAGTTAAATAAATGACACATTGAAATACTAGCATTTACAAATCATTTTCAAGCTTTAAAATAGAAGGATGGACAAATTTACATTTGTCTAGAAGGTGGAAATAAGAAAAGCAGAATTCACAAAACTGACAGAAGAATGCTGAGGCAGTTTGTTTTTCCCCCAACATCCCTACTACATTGGTGCTCGATAGGTTAATTAGAAAAATTATCTTATTGGACCAAGCCTTCCACAAAGCAGACGAGATTCTCTTTGGATTTCTACTAATCTGCAGTACGCTAGCTTCCCAGACAGCTACCATCTATCAAAGTCATTTCTCAGCAGCCCCGTGGGCCTGCATCTGTTCAACCAACTGGAAAAAAAGCCATGCAAGCTGTGCAAATGAATTCTATTCAATTTTTTTATTATTATTTTTTTGTTGTTGTTTTGGTAGTATTTGTACCAGGAAATATATTTGTGAATACTTTTTTCAAAGCCATGTTAAAAAGGAGAAAAAAAAATATTGATCTAGGAGATGTGATGTACTACGTGAATAATTTTTCCTTCACAAGTAGAAAAGATAGGTTGACAAAAATCTAACCAGCACAACCAGAAAAACTAACATAGCATAGAAAAACTGTTACTGTATAAAAAGGTAAGCTTCATTTCCTGAACAGCAGTACAAACTCAGCAGTACCAAAAGGCATCACTAAATTATGATGCAATTGTATGACTGCATTTTCACGATGAACAGTTTCTTCCATCTTCTTTAAAATTCTAAGAGGAAATCATTTCAATCTCTCTCTGAAAGCTAAAATGTCCATTGCCATTTAATACCTTTGATATAAAACATAAGAACACTGCAAGAATCCTCATTCTCTCTTTTCTCCATGTGTTTCAATGGGAACAAAGAGATAACCACTGGCAACAGGAGATAATCCAAATCTTCTCTTCTCTGAGATACTTATTTTCATTTGACCAAAATACTCCGCTCTATCCAGTTAAAAAAATATATCATAGTGCCTCTTATATAAACCTCTAAGTTACCATACCATTTGAAGCCTGCAGTAACTAAAGACAACATGGAGAGAAAAATGGTAGGATTAACTTGTGCTTCACATTCGGCTTCATTACAAATGACAAGACAATCAGTTATAGCGAATGAACGAATTTTGCAAACAAGATCGCTATTACAACAAAATTAAACTTCAGATTTCCAGTAGGTGGTTTGCAGAAGTCTATATATTTCAATCAGGAAACATTATCCCCAGAGTGAAGCCTGGGTCTGATCACATCAATTCATTTGGCCACAAAAGTGGCAGATAGAAATAAAAAAGCCCATTCTTGGAAAACGAGATTCACCTATAACTATAAAAATAAAATAAAACCAACCTGTCCAATGATTCTACCCAGCAGAGCCCAAATGCCTTGCCCTTCATTTCGCAGTTTTCCATTCATATTTTGTAGCTCTTCCAAGGACTCACAAAGCTAAGCAGTTAAAGAAAAAAATCAACAGAAAAAAATATATTACGGTTTATTTAATGAAATTTATTCAACCTCTTACCTATCAAGGGTGCATTACTTTATTGTGGGATTGAAAAACAATGGAACTCATGTCAATATAGCTGAGATCAGTGCAATCAATCATTCAGCAATTTAAGATGAAATCCTGGGCTGCTACCCGTTTTGTAAAAATGATCTGAAGCATTTCAGCATTAAAAATACAATTCCATAGAAAATTAGAAAGCAAAACTAAAATACTGCAATGTCTCATGTGTTGTTCATGCCACTTAGGCTGCAAGATTGTAGCAAGTAACATATAAATGAATTAAAGATCTATATTGCCATATCAAAAAACTTTCACCCATTATCACAGAGATATAACTTAGTAAAGGATGCAAGCAGAAACAAAGTTGTTTTTTTTTTTTCTTCTGGAAGCAATTGTTACTTACTGCACAGCATATACAACCTATTGATCCGGTTACAAGCTCCCACTCCCCAATCTCCTTTGCCTTTAATCTCTTTGGGCACAAGGACCTGCTATGTCATTTATGTATGTTCTCATTTAAAGCACATACCTGACAGTTTAAGAGTGAATAGCAATACTATTTTTTGTTATCACTAATCACCTACGTTGGATAGGTTACTGAATTCAGCAAGAATTGCAACATGTCACCTGTCACAAAATATAAAGTATTTCTATGTTCCCTTTAAAGTATTTAAAGGTTAAAAAAAAAGAAAAAAATATTTAATTAAAATTAAATTAAGACATTAAATGCTTTTTTACGTACAATCATGAATTGGATTTTTGGGTTGGGGTACAGAGGTGGGGGGGTATGGGTATCACACTTTTCTCAATGTTTCAAATGAAATGCACATGTAGAATGAGAACATAAAGGGCCTTAAGGCTCAGTTCACTCATGAGAGGGCTCTGTCTGCAATCTGTCACTCAAGCTCTCTGTGGGGTCAGTCAAAGAACCAGTGTCCAGCCAATGTAGGACTTTTTAGAAGATGACTCTGCTTACACAATGGGGAGGGGGACAGATAGCCACATTTTAAGAAGAAATAAATTTTTAACTATTATTTTCTTTAAAAACAGAAAATTATGTATCTTTGTAAATCATTTTGTTTGGAAAGTGGAATGCTATCAAAGTTAACAGCAGCAATATTAAAACAGTACAATGGTTTATTATCCTTTTTTTCTTCACCTTATTATACTCCACATGAAGCTTTTCTTGCTCATTTTCTAATTTATCCTTGATATTCCTCTGCTCAGCCATATTCTCCTGGATTTGAATCATGCGCATATTTCTCTCTATTTAAAAGAAAATCTTATTATTTCCTAGGCTTGGCTATATTTTCAAGTTTTAAGCACTAAAAAAAAGTAAAGCAATGAAAAGCATAAAACCATAACAGAAAAGCACACAAAACTGTAACTTACAGGTTTATTACACGGCCTCAGTTGAATGAACACTCCTAACGTTTACTTTTTGCTGCACACGACAACCTAGTATAGTTACTTAAATGGTGAGCTTTGATTAGCTATCTACTTGACAGCCGCAAAGTCAAAAACACACCATTCTACACAGTAGGGAAAATACGAGGGGAAAAAATACCAAAGCTCCTTAAGCTTCCACTCCCTTCTTAGAAAAGATACAGCCGCCTATGTATATTTGAATTATTTTTTTTATTTTCTGAAGCTTCTTTAAAAAGAAAACTCACTAGTTTTCTGTATAAATAGAGATTGTGCAGTAATATTCCTGACCTAAAATGAAAACGTAATTTGTGTTTGGCTAGTAAAAAAGAAATACAAGAAAAAAGCCAGTGAACTTGGACAATACTAATACAGTAAAATGATTATCTTTCATTGGGAAAATCATGCAATTTTGATCCTTACCAAGGTAATAATTGACAAAATCAGCAGTGAGAGCTGGTTGTTTATGTTTTCTTCTTCCATCAACACTGGAACTAGTATCTGAAGTATCCACTGGAAAAATGTCTGTGCTTATCCCCATTAACTCAGCTTTGCGCATAAGCTTGCGTATGGCTGAAGCACTGCTAGTAAGCGGTCGTGGCAGCTTCTCCCTCGGTACCCAGGCCTGTGGCCTGGTGGTACGAGCCAGCTCTGCCTTGGCACGGTACTGCTGTAGTCTGGCATTGATTCGAGCCTACAATAAAGAGTTCCGTGAATTAAGAACATAAGGGAACAATTCAAAACCATTTTTGAGTTCTACATTTTGGAACACATCTGCATTTTATTTTCAGTTTAAAAGCCACACGGTTTAATAAATACTGTTTTCACTCTGGAACATTTTGACTCAAGAAAGACACTAACAGACATTTGATTTTATTTCAAAATGCATTACCCTTTCACTAGGTTTTGGAAATATTCAAATTCCTTGATGAGGTTACCTCATTAACATGAGTGATTGCTGGCTTTCAGACAATCCTTTCTGATAATAATTTGATGGAACCATGAAAACTCGCTATTCAGAAAAACCTTGGCTGACCTATCAAAAGTATACCAACCTATACTTTAAATTGGTATTTATGAGAGCAACAAAATTCGGTGACTGGTATTTTTTCCATATTTGACATGTTTTTGTAGGAACTCCTTTTCTCAGTTCCGTATCTCTTTATAAATGTTAAACTAGTTGATTACAATGTGCCAAAAGCACAACTCCAAAGAGAAGTGAAATCAGCAGGAGAAGCTCACTATCCGTCTTGTTGATGACATCTGTATATTTGTGACCATCTGGGACATCAACCCCAGCCGATCAAGTTGTTGCTGACAGTTGAAAAAAAAATTGTCTTGTGGGAACTCTGCAGCAACAAGCCTGGCAGAAAATGACATCAACACACAAACCTTCAGAGGCAAAACTCCAGCTGACTATCAGTTAGAAGTTGTTTATTTGTCTGCATAAAGAAGCAGCTAAACTAATCTGACTGCCCTACCATATGGTGTGAGATACTCTTGAGACAAAAGCAAAAAAGTCTGCATATACACACGCCATGTTTCAGGATTACCTCTGATTACAAATAGCATTGCTGAAGGTAGTATTACAGGCACTGTTTAACGTATAACCTTACTAGGTCTTGAACATTAATGACCAAGACACATGACAAATGTGGTTTGTGGCTACCAAAATGTGACATTTTTTCCTTGAACTCAGAGCAGCAAGGGAGAGATCCACCTGCAGTTGCTACCTTAGTTTGTTCCAGCAGAGAATAAAACATTTTATAACTTTCTCAGCCTAGATGCTTCTTTACTGGTTACATTCTCCGTTTGGAAACTCCAGGGGTCATTTAAGATGTCATAGAACTACACCCAGAGCCTTATTCCAGAAATAGATTACATATCAGACTGACTAGTCCAAATGAAAACCTGAACTCTCAACATGTATTTAAGCAATTTTCAAGCATATATTTTATCCAAGGAATGTACGTTTCCTTTATTGATATAAAGAAAGTATTTCAACATAGAATATTTTCCAACAATCCATAATAGTCCTAGACAGTTTTATATTTTATATTCTTTAGAATTATTTTCTTTTTTGAGCCACAGGACTTGCCAGACTGTTAGCTCAAGTATTCCTGCCAGGGCTATATAGCACCAAATATCAGCTTTTCATCCTTTGAAAGCATCCCTCAAAAATCCAGTCGCAACACCGTACAACATTATTTGCACTATTACATTATTATTTACATTAGCTCAATACTTGTCAGTCTTAAACTTAAAAACTCCTGTGGAAATGAGCTTTTGTAATATGTGTATGTACACACCTACTACCGATTCTTACTTCTCACACAAAAATCCTCCAGTAAATTCAACTGTCTGTTAAAATAGGACTTCACCTTATTGCACACTATATGCACGAGAAAGTTGAAGTGTGAATTTGTATGCACTATTTTGTGTCAACTCCCCAGTCAGGCATTTCTGTCTGTACTAAGAACCCATTACAGTCATGAATTTCTAGAAATGCACAGAAACCACTCAAAGACAGAATTATTTCATAAAACACATACCCATGGGGTCTTGCTTCAGGTTAAAGTGAAGGAAGAAAGGGAAATGCTGGGAACATACCAGCATTAGCAGCACTTCATAGCAAATACAGGTCTCTAAAAAAAGACCTGAAAACAGAGCTTGTGAGAGCCACACTAGACCCAAATGGATTTTGCACAACCAATACTTACCATTATGTTGGAGAGTGTTCATATCATTGTGATTTCTCCACTACATAGTGGTAATTCACGTAAGTGAGAGTAGAGTGCATTACACAATTATGTAACTTGCTTTAAATCAAGCCATGCCAAGCTTAATACCCCACAGAAATATTTTATTCAAAATTCTTCAGTGGTAGAGTTCGCTCGTGCTCATTCTCAAATCCACAGGCCACTTTAAATTAGAGGTTATTTTTCCTATTCAAATGTCTTTGAAGATCTAAAAAGGTATGATTTAATCAAAACTTTTGATCACATGAAGATTTATTTTCTGATCATTACACTACAGCTCTCCCTTCAGAACAAGGGAGAACTTTTTCCTCTTCCTTCTCTCTATAATTTCTCTCTTCCATTATTTACTAAGCAACTGCCAATTTCTATTACTATTTAGGCAGAATTCCTTCAAGTAACAAGCTGTTTTTCTGCACGGGCATGACTTTTCTGCAGAATTCAGTGCGGCCTCAAAAGTAGAAGCAAAGCAGGCCACAAATTTGTCAAGACTCAGAAAAAATTAAGTACACACACTCTAATATACTGAAGTATACAGATTACCTCAGAAGAACTGAAATCTTGATATCAACAAGACACTTATCAGCTGACATCATGCAATAACTAACAGTTTCACATGGTTCAGCCACTCCGCAGGGATATAGACTTTGCCTAAGATTTTCAGGCATCTCCTACTCAGCAGCAGAGACTCAGTATCTGTATTTGATGCCATTTTTTTTCTTCTAGGAAATCTTTACTTTAAAAAAAATGCGCATAAAATTCTACTTATCTCTACAGCAGGTGAAGAAGTGATCTAGCAAGAAAAAAATTCAGGCAAGCTAGAGTCTTCTGCCAATGCTAAAATATTACTACAGGAAAAAAAAAAAGTAAGATTTTCACTGAACATCTATGTACAAAAACACCTTATTCTTGTCTACCTGTGTGGTTTTTGTTAAGAATCTTGACAAAAAATGATAAAAAAAAAAAATCTATGGATTGCAATGAAAATTTAATTACCAACTTTCTGCAAACAAACTAGGTCTGCAACTCTGGAAAGGATAGATGTTCCTTTTTGACATCAAGTTTATTGAGAATTGCTCTTAAGAGAATTGAGAGTTGTCTTAGCAAAACTCACTGCTACGAGAAACAAAATATATTGATGGCACACATTCAAATTTCATTCACTATATATAACAATTACCAATCTTCTTAATTTCTTTCTTGTTTAAAATGGATGATTAATGCAAATGCATTTGTGTCAGGAATATAGTACCTGAGCTTCTGGCGAAAGCTGTTTTTCTCTTTCCTGTAAGGACATTTTACAGTAAGATTGTAATGCCAAGTAGTTTTTCCGCTTCCATTTTCTGTCTAACCTGTCCGCATGCTGTTTACAATAAGCAAAAAAAGGGTCAGCTATATCCTGTTTCAGAGAAAACAAAGGAGAAGGAACAAAAATAAAGTTAAGACATACAAGGTCAAAAGGCTCTGAACAGCACAAGCATTGTGCCAACAGTTTCTGTATTCAAATAGACATTTTTAAAAACAATATATATATTTCTAAATCAACTTTGTCACATTGATTTATCTTATAAAGTTTTTTTCCATCTTTTTCATTTTATGACCTTAAACGTTTTAAAATGCATTAATAATTAACGCAGTAGTTTGATCTCTGAACTATTTTCTCATTTCCAGAAAAAAATGCATAAGAAATTCCTACGTGCAAATCCATTTAGCATATAATATGTATTGTTAACCTCCTATTGCTTTATTGTGTCTTCTTTTGCATAATATCCTAAAAGGAATTAACAATCTGAAAAATATGTAACGCAATGTATCTGTTTTTCTCAAATGATTTTTCAGATGTATTGGTGTGATTAATCATCACTCAGATGACTTTTTTCTCATTTTTCATTCAGATTAGCACAGATTAGCACACATTTCCAACAGATTAGCACATTATCATGCTGCAAAGCTATAGTAATTTTTACTACATACAAACACTGCAAGCAGTGTACAAACATACAAAAATACAAAAATACAAAGGGCTGGATCGCCTCTCCTGTGAAGACAGGCTGAGGGAGTTGGGGTTGTTCAACCTGGAGAAGGCTCTGGGAAGACCTTCCAGTACCTAAAGGGGGCCCACAGGAAAGCTGGGGAGGGACTCTTTGCCAGGGGCTGTAGTGACAGGACAAGGAGTAATAGCTTTAAACTTAAAAGGGCAGCTTTAGATTACATATAAGGAAGAAATTATTTACTCTAAGGGTGGTCAGGCATAGCCCAGAAAAGTTGTAGCTGCTCCATCCCTGGAAGTGTTCAAGGCCAGGCTGAATGGGGCTTTGAGCAACCTGATCTAGTGGTTTCATCATTATATGAAATATCTGAGCCATGATGAGATTCAGTCTGAGAACTATGTTTCATCAGTATATTGTCAAAGCTGCAGAAACATCATCATAAATCAACAGACTAAGAAAATCTCGAGGCAGTCTTCCTTCATAAGGTAATAAAAATATTATGAAATAGTTAGCCTATCCAACTTTTCCTTCACTCACATACAAAACAGAATTAATAAAAATCTGTACAGGCTTTCCTTATTTTTATTTTGATTTAGACTTTCAGAATGTGTGACAACTTACTGCCAAAAATTAGCAGCTCCCTATAATTAGGTTCTACAAGGGAGGCCTTGATTAAAAATACTTAGCTACAGAAAACATGTAAGAACATTTTCAAGTAAAAAGATAAGGCATGTGCCTAGAAGAAATTCACACAATTTTTGAAGATTCAACATTACACATAATTTAGTAGGGAAAACAACATCAAGGCAACTGCACTTTTCCTACTTCTCAGTCTCACAGGAGTACACAAATTTGTGATCCCTTTAAAAGGGATCTACTTAATGGTCTGCTTTTTCACAAACAAGTTGGACTATTTCATCAACAAAGAGCCCTCCCTGGACAGTCCTTTTACTTGGCCTATGACTTCCTAGTAATTTACAAAACTTGGCTCAGGAATAGTGAATAAAAAAGGCAGAATTTCAGGTCTTCCCCACAAACTTTTGATACAACCCTTTTATTCTATCCTTTCCAAAGCTACATCATACCTACCTCTTCTGCTGCTGCTTCTGAGAGAAGGCCTTCCTTCTGGGCGCAGGTCACGTGGAAATAAGCTCTGCACATCCCAGCATCACAGCTAATGCATACGCCAGTTCTGGCAAAACGAGGATCTTCGCAAAAACTGCACTCCTTTATAAGAAAGGGTAGAAAATGACAGAGTATTTCAGGTGCATTTTGCCTAATATTTAATAATTTACATCTTACATATAAGAACTAGACAGCTGGGTTTACTCCTGTGTGGTACAGAAACCAAGTATGTTGATAACATTTGGCAATATTTAAAGCTTCACCACTTCCCAAACCCCGCAATTGACTTCATTTTCAATAAGCAATGGAAAAAAGCTTAAAAATCCTAAATAGCATATTGGATGAACTTTTATAAGAAATTCCATGCCTTCTATTTCCCTTCAGAGCAACAACTAAATAGCATCTAAGCAATACATACATACTTAACTATATAGGTGGAATATCATAAAACCACAATACTGCACAGCAAATGTTCAGTTGTTCAATAAGTTCAGAGCACATACACACACAAAAAAAAAAGCATGGTCCTCTAGGTGAATTGAAAACCATAGAAAACCAAACCATTGAAAAACCAAAACCATTGAAAACCAAACATTACATAATGTCCTTTAATAAGTTCTGATTGAGAAGCTAATTTGTGACAACGGAAGAAAAAAATAATCAAAAAATGTAAATATCAGTAAGTAAGTTTGTGATTCACATAAAACACTACATAAAGGCTTCAGCTACATTCATTCCCGGCATAGCTGTTTGCAACACAGCAAACTGACATCCACTAATGGAACCTGGAAAAAATACAAACATTTTTCAGCCGGATCAGTTCCTCAGTCTGGTTCACCACAAATTCATACTGAACAGCTGTTCCAGCAAACTAGAGTGGTAAGTGTTTAAGCAAGAATAAGCAAATAGAAACACAGGCTGGTAAAGCGGTGCCGCTATCCAGTGCGTAAAGCGACCTAAAATTACATAGTTGTGCATTTCTGAATGTCTCACATGATGAGTATGGAGCAATGCTGTGCAGCACCTACAGAAATTATTTCCATGCACAAAGTTAAACAACAATAGAAAGGATTTGCAAATGAAATTCAGTGACAGAAGAATCTCAAAAATATTGCATACACTACCCTAAAAGGGCACCCTTTAACTGTGTCACAGCACCACGTAACAGAAAAGAAATGAAGCAAATCATAGATTATTACTTGAAACTGGTATTCCAGGGAGGTGTTTAGCTAATCTGTAACTTCCACACTTGATACAGCAAACAAGGATTGTTTAAAGCTCTGTGAGAGTAATGAGTCCTCATCTGGGCAGTTCACTCATCTTACTCACAGTAAACCTTACTCCTACACACCATTCATGCTAAAAATAAAAAATTAAAAATTAAGAAGCATGATTCATTGCAACAATAGGCTGCAGGGTTTTGGTAGTTTGCTCATACTTTTTTATACAAACATTTCTAAACAATGCTAAATACTCCTGCAGGTGTACGCTGAACATGCTCCTAATATAGGTAAGTTGCACATGGGACACCCAAAGTGTTTTAATTTATTTTAATATTTTTACAGTTATTACGAATTTTAATTTAGCATTCAATTTGCCAAATTAAATCCCAGGAAATTTACTATGCATAAATTAGGTATTAGAGTAGCAATACTACAGCCACCTTTCCTCATGGTAGCCAGATAGATAGGGATTCTCCACTCTGTTCCCGTAACTACAGCAATAGTTAGTAAATCAGTGTTGGCCTCTGCCCTTTGTGATGTTTTTCTGTATGTTTTGTACATGATCACTTTTGACCTGGATTGAAAACATTTACACGTAAAAGACTATTTTAATGTTAGACCCACTTTCTCTGTTCAAGTTTAGGACCCCATACTGTTACGTTCTGTTTTGGTTTTTAATACTGCTTTGCAGCAATCTTTTTGTATGCATTCCAGCTTATGATTACAAAGAACCAAAAGTAGTTCTTAACTGAATTTACATCTGTCTCTTAATCCACCTCACTTTCCTTTTCTCCATTTCAAATCCCATAAATCCTCTTCTCTTTCCAACCACATTCTGGCAATCTGCCACTAACTGATTTTTAAAGAAAGTAATTGGCACCTGCATAAGAGAAAGGAAGGAAACAGAAAAATAGTAAAAGAAACTATAGAGAACAGCAGTAACAAAAAATAGAAAAAAGAGAGAAGGAAGAGCGAAAGTATAACAAACAGAACAAATTTCATCACATTTGCAGTTTGAAACCTGTTTGTGAAAAAAATAAATAAATAAAAAAATAAACAAAAAAAACAACATAAATGAGACTGGGAAGTCATATGTTATTCTACTTAAAAAAGTGAAATAAAGCTAATGGTAGGTAGTACATCTCTTCTAGACTTACCTTGGCACCATACTTTGAATAATTCATTTCTGTAAGTGTTACTGGCCGCAATTTGTCAATATCTCCAAACGCCACTCCTGGAACATAGAGGGCACAAACAATATGGACCCACCTAAAACAGCACATAAAATTAGGTTAGTATTACAAGATCTTGTTCCCATATTACACTTGCTAATTTCAGGTTTCAAAGTGCCATGTGAATGTTACAGATGCCAGAAAAAGCATACATAAACAAAAAATATATTAGAAGCAGGTAAGGAATACATATTGGGAAGTCAGCACACTGAACCACAGCAAGGTTTCACAGCAACTGGGATTGCTTTGCTTGTCTAGGTCAAGAGCAAGGCAACCAACACCCTCTGTTCTGATGGTTCTTAAGCAGAGTTCTCCATCACTGTTTATGCAACATGAAACATACATTAAGGTTTTGATACTACTCACGAAACTAAAGTAGACTGATGGGGTGGGACAGTGGAAGCAGAAGAAACAAAATTACTACCTGGTTAACAGAAAAATCCCAGTAACAAGATACATATAAGCCATTAACTCACTTCACTCTAAAGGAATTGGTTAGTAAATCTAACAAAAGCCGTAACACTGACCAATTCATAGTGTTGTATCTGACAAGAATATTTTCAAATATGCAGGTGAAAAGAGAAGTTTTTATACTATTGTTAAATCACTTGTGTTTGAGACGCAAAGTCATAAATTCACTGTAAAACATGAAAAATTAAAAGTGAGAAAAATGTACATTTGAAATATAAATTTACATGCAGTAATTTTCACAGATTTTACTGGGGCTCTTGGAATCCACAGCAGAGTCATAGCACTTTAACTACAGGTAGAATCAAAAGAAGATCCATGGTCTGAACTTTTGGGTAGACCTGTGCGGTGTCAAGAGTTGGACTTGATGATCCTTAAGGGTCCCTTCCAACTCAGGATATTCTATGATTCTATGATTCTATGATCTGAAGATTAGTTACAATTTTGTCTTTAAATAACACGATTCAAATACAACAGCATGCTAGCTGCCAAAGAACAAACTGGGATACTCAAGTGTTCTGCCAAGCTTCTTCATGCACAGACAAAGTAAAGCCAACCATTGTTTTTAATATGATATAAACACTCCAACATGCCAGCAGAATCTCCTAATTTAATACAAAATTATGCAAAAACTAAGACTCTCCTCATTACCATATGAAAATTCAGTAATTCAGAAAATTCTGCCTGCCTCTCCATAATGTATTAATCTCTGGTAGCAATGGAGCACCTAATACCATCCTTCAAGGTCATCCTCTGGTGACTAGCCATGCATGGCCTGAGGGGCTGGTCAAGGGAATTGTGATTGGGACAATCTACTCGGAGCTGCTGCAGCCTCATTTCAAGTACCATATGCAGCTTTGGGCACCACAGTGTTAAGAATGACATAAAATTTTAGAGGGTGTCCATTAGACAGCATCCAAAGGAGGACAATAAAGATGGTGAAGGGTCTAGAGGAGAAGACAGATGAGAATATGCTGAACTCCCTTGATTTGTTCAGACTGAGGGGAGGCCTCATGGTGGCCTACAGCTTCCTCATAAGGGGGAGAAGATGGGCAGGTGCTGCGCACAGCTCTGAGGACCAACAATAGGACGCAAGGGAACAGCATGGAACTGGGACAGGGGTGGGTCAAGCTGGGTGGTCGGAAAAGGTTCTTGACTGAGAGGGTGGTTGGGCACTGCGACAGGCCCCCAGGGGAGGTCACAGCACCGAGCCTGCTGGCATTCAAGCAGCATTTGGACAACACTCTCAGACACACTGAATGATTTTTGGGTGGTCCTGTGCAGAGCCAGAGGTCAGACTCAATGATCCTTGTCGGTCCCTTCCAACTTGGGATATTCTCTGATTCTCTCTCTGCCCTCTCAGAACTGGTTACAGTTTGGCCTAAACCACTACCATAATTTTATGAAATACTTTTCTACCAAAAAGAGTTTGTGTGCACAAGTATGTATTTCAGCAAATACTGTACATTTACTAGAAGAAATATCTCATTTCCACAAACACACAAACTATTCTTTTCCAAAAGGAATCAGGACACTATTTTTTATCCTTTCGAGCAAAATGCTACACAGAGTAAGACATGTAACTTTGATAAAGATACTGCTTAGCCATTAATAACTGCACTAGGGCTTTTCTATATCCTTTCATTGATTTAAGATGCACTACAGAGAACAAATTTGTATAAGTTGAAGTTACACTTCCTCACTGTTACTATTCTTAAAAAAAAAAAAAAATCCAAGGCTCTGGTTGGAGATTTTTCATAGTACATTTAGAAGACTGCATTAAAATTTACCCTCCAAAGTTCAATATAAAGATACACATCTTCTACAAGCAGCTGCTTCTCAATTTAATTTGCACAGTTTTTTCATGCTCCACTGGTGTATTAAATGCTGCTGCACTCCGTAGGAGTTTATCTACGATAAACCCAACAGCTGGCTGCTTGCTTCATACTGACCTTCTCAAAATGTTTTAGTACATGTCACCGAAGTATTACAGTATTACAGATTTAAAGTGCCATTTCAGTGTGATTGGCACACAAGTGCCTCATTTCTTTAGCCACTTTTATGTGAACTCGGACCTGAATCTTTATTAAAAAACATATAGAAGTCAGTCAAGTTCACAGCTGAAGCAGTTTCAGCTGCTTTTAATACCAGTTCTAAATATTTTCCTGCTCATTTGTTTAGCCGCACATGTTTTAGAAGCTTGTAATTAAGACAAATTGGGTAATCAAAGAAGAATAATCTTCCCTGTTACTTTACCATCCATTTAGCTTGGAGCAATGATGACAGATGTTGATTAGGGAAGAAGAAAAACTCCATACCATAACAAGGACAGAATTCATATTCTTGGATAATATGAGATTTTATTTCTCATAATGATAAATTCACGTTTATGCTCATGAAGCTGAGAGGTTAATGTGAAAAGAATTCTGCTGAGAAATTAAGCACCTCATTATTATAATGATTCACATAGAAACAGAGAAATAATTCCAACTTGATTGTGAAAAGAAACTGAAGAGGCTTGGTCTCACTTTTGTGTGATTTCCAGCATTGATGCATATAAAGAATTTCTTTTAAAAGGTGGTAAGGGGATGGAGAGTTAAAGGATTCTGTTATTCAGTGGTCTATGATAGTATTCCAAGAAATGAACTGACCTATGTTGCAGTTTACTCGGTACTGTGGTAACATAATAATGGACATTGCCGACCCCATCCTATCTTACTGTGTATTGCACCATTTCCCTATTGAGTTCAAATTAATAAATTAACAGAACGAGAGCACGGGATTATTCACACGTTGGATAGTTTTGTTTTGTTCTTCTAGTACATAAATCTATTCACCTGGGAGAGTAAACTTATACTTATTCATGACAGCCATATCACATCATCTAGCAGATAAAAATGCAATAACAGAGATAATAAATTGTCATGTTAATCTCCACAGTCAACAAAGCAGGCATATGCTTTTGCACAAATAATCAGTATTGCAGAGAAAACACTTCCATATTAATCAAAAACATACTGCTACTTTATAAGAAATTTCAAGCAAGCGGTTTTTAAAATGTTGACTGTAGTTTCTATTATCATTATAAGGGAAATTACATACATAGTGCTTAAACTGCTTTAAAAAACACAAGAATTAAAAGACTGAAATACAGCTAGAAAATACAAAGCTGATCTCAACGTGTATTCAGTGGAGAAAGGTAGCTGTCCTCCAAAGCCAATTCCTAGCACTTACATCTAATGGAGAAGTTCAGTGGTATGAATACCCTCTTTATCTGTTTATTACCACTGCAAACTTAAAATGTTTCTGATATTAGAAAAAATTACAAGCTAAGGCAGAAATGCAAAGGCACATGCATTTTAATCCACAAAATCTCAACCAACTTATGATACTTTAATATTGTATTTACTTTCCTTAAAACCAGTATGTCAAAAAAAGATTTCCTAAAATATCATCTAGAGCTCTCCTGACCTTTTAATGATGGCAGAATCAGTCTGTTACAGTATTAGCAACAGTACTGGAACAGAAAACAGGAATGAAAAAAAACAACACAGCTAATACCAAAAAAAATGAATATGCTTTTGCGCTCATTACAAGACAGTCACAGTCATCTAAATGATGTCATCATTTAGAGCAAACCACTACAAGCCAATGGATGAAAGAAAACTGAGGACATTGCTATATTTTGTGATTTGCTAGTACAAAATATGTTGCTCTCTAATATATAGCTCAGTGTAAACAGTTTAAACATTAAACAACATGAACTCATCTATCGTCATCAGTAAAATATGACTGCATATTTTTATAATCTTACGTATCAAACAGATATGGTCAAACAGGATTAAGAAAGCTTTGCTTTCCTCTGAACAGCCTTATCAACTAATTAGATTGCCTTCCCTTGTTAACACAATCAATGAAAAACTTATGACAGGCCCATTATCTGAAAATGTTGTGTATTACCGTGCACCTGCAACTTATATAACTGTAAAACTTATATAAAATCCCTATGTATAATATTTATATTGCCATATATTATATATGAATAGTACAAACATTATATTGTGTATATTATATACATTTTATAAAAAAATAAAAAGCAGTAAAAAAAGGGAGGTAATAAAGCTGGTGAAGGGTCTAGAAAACATGCCTTGTGAGGAGGCAGCTGAGAGGGCTGGGTCTGTTTAACTTTGAGAAGGCTTAGTGGAAACCTTATTCTACTTCACAATTACCTTAATGGAGGCTGTAGCAAGGTGGGGATCTGGCTCTTCTACCAAGCACCAAGTGAAACGGCCTCAAGTGGTGTCACAGGAGGTTTACGTTGAATATTATGAGAAATTTATTTACTGAAAGTATTGTGCAGCATTGTAATAGGCTGCCCAGGGAACTGGCTGAGTAACCATCCCTGGAGGTCTTCAAGAAAAGTGCAGATTTAGAACTTAATAACATGGTTTACAGGTGGACTTTAGTACTAGGCTAATGATTGGACTAGATCATTAGAGGTGTCTTCCAACCTGAATGATTCTATGATTCTGTCATTCTATGAAAAAAATTTATGGAAAAAGAACCTAATTACGTTAATTGTTGTTCTCAAAAAAAAAAAAAGTGTCATCTTTATAGTCGATCTTACTACTAACCATTTTGCTCTCTCCTTTATTGTAGAAAATTAGTTACCATTAAAAACAGTATCGATTTTTTTTTTTTTAATACGACAGGAATGAAAGACATCACATAAGAAAGCATATCCAGTAAGACATCTGTGTATATACAACAATACATCGGTCACTTCACATTGGAGAACAGATTTTATCATTCCCTTAATTAAACGGTGATTTATTTTTTTTTTCTCACTTAGGGTACATCTTTTCCTCATCAGTCCATAAACCTATAATATTATAATGGAAGTGAAGAATATTAGGAGCAAAAAAAAAAAAAAAAGATTAGGTGATTGACTATCCATAGAGCACCCACTGTTTATACCAATTTATAACAGTCTCCCTACAGGAACAGACAAGGGCAAAACCCAAACTTTTAAGCATTAGCAGAATTTGAAACACCACTTCTTCAGCCTTACCTGCCCGCATCTGTCTCCTTGAAGATCCCATCTTGGTTTGGACATAGTTCACAACTAGGTGTGACACCACATTTGCATGCATCACAAAACCAAGGTTCAGTGGAATTTTCTGAAGCTGAGCTCATGATGGAATCACTCTCTCCATCAACACCATAGCAACCTACATACACAAAAATGAAAGACACAACATAAGGAAAGACAAATAAACAGGTACTTCTCAGTTATGATTTTCAGCAGGAAATATACACAAGCACACTCAGCTGCATGATGATGAACATCCCAAGAAAGCTTCCAATATTTATGCAAGGATAACTTTTAGCGCAAAATTTATAATTCTAAATAAAGCCCATTTCTAAAGGATGATCTTACATTGCAACCAAAAGATGTAAAGGTCTGTTTTACTTTGTTCTTTTAGCAATGCTTGGTGCCCTAGACGTTAAAAAATTAAAAAAAAAAAAAAAAAAAAAAAAAAACACAAAACAACACAAAACAAAGCAACCCAAAAAGACTGAGAGAATCACAGCATTTTTTTCAATTAAAGAAATGTATTTCAAGTTAAATGCAACAGCTAATGAAAGTGTAATAAAATACTGACCAAATATTCTGTTTTGTAGAGATGATTTTTAGTGCCTTTAAACATTTGTTATCCTACAAGATCCTTCATACCTCTCTTTCCACTGTTGTTGTAGTGCTTACGTAGAGCTACCTGTCTTCCCATTCCATCTGTAAAGTCTGCTTTGAGCTGGATTAGCAGTCTAATACAAATTATAACATGGTTTCTTAAATACTAGCACCAAATGAGAAATCCATGGGTATCATGGGTCAGGATTTAGATTTGAGAACATATACAGCTTTCTCTTGGATATTCTGATCTTTTGGCTTCTTGCTACCCTGAAATGAAGGTGTGGTGTTTTTTTTTTCCTCTAAGAAGTCAATCATGCTAGCAGTACCCGTTCAACAAACAGCCAGCCCACTTTTCCACTTTGCATTCAGCATCCAATTCAGGTAAAAGAGAATATACATAATAAAAATAAAAATAAGAATTTGCATCCCCCAAGGTTTGTAACTTAAAGGTTTGAACTTAAAAAGATCTTCTGTAACTTTAAAACTGAAGTATCATCTGATGAGCACAGACTAACAGTTTTGAGACACCACTTTGGTGATTGCTAAAAATTTAAAATATACTTCATCATTCTCGTTTTACTTGATTTTAAACTATGATTAAACTTATTCAATTTCTCAATTCTTCTTTGGTATGCCCAGTGTTTTTATGATTTTAACACATCTCTGGCTTAATCACTATAAATTTAGTATTTTAAAGTGATTTAGAAGCTCGTTACATAAATTTTGAAAAAGAGTAAGAATAGTATTCCTACTACTGTAAGTGACAAAAAGGAAGATGTTAAAGCTTATCACCACAAAAACATACTTCTGTACATGACACACTTTGAATATTTACCTTTTCCTCAATAAGAGAAAAATAATATTTCATTGTCTACGTTAAAACAAAGTAGAGACACTGCTGAAAGATTAAACTCAGCTATTTGTCGACAACAGTGATCAAGTCAACATTTTTGCTTGCAGAGCAGTTAAATTATTGAATTTTGCAATTAAATAGCAACATCATTTGTTAGTTTGGTTCATTACCCACTGACTATAATAAAATAGTAACAGTGCTCTAACTCCTCTTGTGACAGAAACAGAGATAATAGACTAAAACTACATTCAGAAAATAAGCAATAACACTCACTGTAGGTACCATTTAAGAAATATAGTCTTCCATTACAGCACAAGATTCATCAATAAGTATTAAATTAAGTCACCAGAATGTTTCTTTTTTATTATAGACGTATTCCAGAATTAAAGGACAAATAATACCCAGAAGTGCCAGACAAGATTCATTAGGTATATAAAATATTGTATAGCTCATACATAAACTAACTCAATTTTCTTTTTTTATGTCATACCAGCTTTAAGTGGTGTCCCAGAAAGTCCTTTTTAAGTTGTAACAACGCAATCTTGAATACATGCCCACAAGGCTACTTTTAAGCAATTACATTAATGTACAAACACATAACACATTGATATTATATGGTTGATGAATAATTAAGCTTTTTATAATTCTGACAGACCATTCTTATCAAACTAATATTTTCCTAAATGTACTTATTAAAATTACCTAGCACTATAGGAGCAGTAATACTGTCATCAATCCATATGGCAAAATAAAATTGGTTTCTTCCGAACACTGATAATTCTTCAACAATCAAATGTAATTAGATTTGTTTTTCTCAAGTGCCGTCAGGCTGCTAAAATTAGCACAGTGACTTTCCACAACTGTCTTGCCTTCATTCTGAAATATTTGCCTAGTTACACTTATCAGTCATTTTTTCTCCTTCTTCCTAGAAAACTACATGCGTTTGCTGCAATTGTTTTCATCCGTCTCACATGTGTTGACAACAGACTTGGTTTCCATGAAAACGCAAATATAAGTAATTTTCTCATGTGGATAAAAATAGTTGTCAAGAGTTATAACCCAAGTGTTTTTTTCTTCTAATTATATTTAAAAATAATTATATCAATAATTATATATTTAAATATAATTATATATTTTATGTAATATATATATGTATATATATTATATAAATATATATTATAAAATTTAAATATGATTGTATTTACACTTATATAAATATTAATTATATAATATTAATTTATATAAAAATAATTAATTTTTCTAACTTCTGTCATAACTATGACAGCCTTAAAGACTTCAAAATCTCTAACAGACACAAGCAGGCATCCACTCTTTTTCCCTGTCATTTAGCAAAAGCTAAACACCCTACTGCTACATGCAGCAAAAGGGATGGTCATTAGCTGGAAAAACTACACTACATTATCGTTAATCACAGCTGATATATACACCAAAACAATGTTGTGCACTCCAGTTGGAGCAAAGTTAATCCAGCCCATAGTCACTAACTGGCAAATAAAGCTAGAAAAGCCAAGATACAAAACAGTGTTCCACAGATTGTATGATTTTTTATGAAAAAAATCATATGAAAAGATTTATGAAAAGATTTTTTATGAAACCTCAGTTGCTGTGAAGGAGCATAAGTAACAAAAAGGCTGCCTTCAAGAAAAGTTTTTTTCTACCCACACACATCAGGTCATTATCCTCAACCGTGAGGAAAAGAACTTCACTGTGCAATTTTTCACAAAAAGTACTTTGTAATTATTTTGAGTAGTGGCATAATCTGTTTGAGCATGCTCCAACATAATTCTGAGCCTTACACAACAAATCTGTAGTTTATTTTCTAGCACAAGTTAACACTAATGCAAATAGATTAGTGAAACACATAGTATTTAAATGCAACTTCACAGCTAAAATCTAAATTTGATTTAACAATACTTAAAAAAAAAAAAAATGAGCCCCAAAATTAATTAGAAACCACCTGTTAAGGTGTGTTGTCTGTTAAGGATATGCAAGTACTTTAACACAGAATTTTTCTCATGTTTGCTATGAAGGGTACCTGCTGCTTTTGGGTTGTTAAGTGGTAACAGAAACCAGAGAAGAGATCAAATTTCATCAATTTAATAACCATCTAGATAATGCAGATCTTTTGAGCAGATGCATTCATGAAATGTCTGTAAAGATACAATGTAAAAGGGAGACCATAAATCTTTCATATGGATTCCACACCCAAAAATCAATATGCTTATGAAGATAATTAAATTCCTTTGACAAACTAGCAGTGAAAAAATAACATGCCAAAAATATACAGAATAATAAAGAATTTAAAAACAAAAAGTAATTGATGACACAATATTTGTCCCAATTTAAAGGGTCACATAACAAAATACTGATGTCATTTGATGTTAGGATGACAAATACGTACAGGAACAGCTCTAACTTTTTTTTTTTTTAAATATGCAAGAAAAAAAATCACTTCGATTGAGTTATGAAGGTAAAAGCAGTTTAAGAATGAAACCCTTTTGAAGAAATGTATTGATTGGGCTAAAACTTGAATTTCAGTCCAAGTAAGAGTACTTAGAACAATCAACAGCTAAGATCATTATAGCATTCACCTCTTCTGTCCATTCACAATATCCTAGTCATTGGTGGTAGCTATTCTGGAACACACACCTGATCCTCCTTTGTGAGTTGCTTCACATAAGCATTACTTCTTGAATACCTTACAGTTTTTCAAGATACGGAAACATGCTTTCTGTTTATAAACTTGCAATCATAACAAAAACCCTGGCAAAGGTGAAGAACACTGCTAAGCAGTGTCAGAATTCGAAACATTTTTCAAAATGAAATACTCAATTTATTTTTTTTTCCTCTTGCCATCATTAGCTGCAACACTAACTGCCAACTGAAAGCTTAAATGGATCAGATTAATATTCCATCTTAAAATAAGTTAATTGAATGCTAAGCATACTTACGGTACACTTAATGCTACACTTAGAATTATGGATCAACTGTTTATCAAACACATTCAGGCAAGCAGATATACTAAATATGACTCAACAATTAACACTGATGGAGAAGATGAATTTGCAGTTCTAAACCATGCTTTCAGTGGCTTCCACTTAATTTCAAGTAACGTGACAGCCATGCTAAGGGATTCACATTTCTCTTTTAAGCTGAAAGATTAAGAAGAAGCATTTTGCACTGCAGTGCTATAACTTAGCTTGTGTATTAAATCAGACAGTACAGAAGGCACTTGATAAACAAGTCTGAATGTATTTTATTCCACATCTGTCTGAATAATTACAATACAGAGATCAAGAGTTCAGTCTTTAAAACATAGGTATTTACTTATTTTACCAAAGTAGTATTCTTTAATCTGCGCTAACATTTTTGGATCCTTAAAACTTTGATGAGTATAAAGGTTCAACAGATTTTGTGTCTTCTTCTCCCATGTTTGAAAAAAAAAAAATTTGTCCTAGTAACAATGATTTATAGAGTGTTATTTTTATGACTCTTTAAAGTGCATAGTCATGTCAATATGTTGCTTAATAAATCTTTCCAACCTTGTATTTACCAACTAAGCTGATCAGTAAGACAAAGTTATTCTGTCTGACCATCCTGTTTGGGAATTGTGGGGTTTGGAACAAAAAGCAATGTAACAGCTTGCTACAAGCGTATCTCCCAAGCAATACTGGGAGGTATTCTTCCAAATTCTTTCTCAAGGCAGCACAGTTGTTTAGGTGGTAGTGTTGGTTGTAGTTGTTTAGGTTTCAAACTGAGGACAACCTAAAAGGACAACAAAAAAGATGCATGTCTTCTAACTAACATGTTCCGTTTCATTTGTTAGACTTAATGCTGAATAGGTCCCAGGTGCAGTAAGTCAATCACCTGCCTCTTTGATTTGAAAATATGTCAAAGGAAACTTAAAAAAGAAAAAAAAAACAAAACCAAACAACACTTCACTGAGCATGCGTGATGTATTTCCTTAATGAGCATAAAATTCTGAATTTTGGAATTTTATATCTTTAGACTACCTGAGAGCCCCTTCTCAGTTACTGTTTGTGAATACATGCTATGTATTCCTTGTTGCTGTATCACAACTCCATGTCTGCCCCCTCCTTGAATTTACCACTAAGTGATAAAGCTATACGAGTAATGCCCATGAATTTAAACACATGAAAGTCAAGAAGTTAAAATTCTCATAACATTTATTCTTCCACAAACTGCATCTCCATATTATGATTACAGTTAAGTTGTCTATTGCGTGTCATTTTATACAGGAAACTAACTTTATTTTAAACCTACTGCACTCTGTCGTTAGCTTATTTTTATGCATTGTCATTAAAATGAAATTACAAACACTAAAATGCTAGCATTGGAACAATTGTACTGAAATTTATGCCACAGAAGGAAAAGGGATGAGACCTAATTCTTGTCTTGCCTTCGTGTGTTCCTCTGTCTTATCCAATTATCCAAGAGGATAATTTTTTGTCAGTCAAACAGAACATCTACATATGCTAACACCACCTATGAATCAAGAAAGCATTAACAGTATACATGAGTATAGTGTAGGTTTGCAAAAATAAACGCTGTATTTAAAATATGTTACATTCAACCCTTAATTCAGCCAAGAATTTAGAAAAAAGATATTAACCACTTCAGGCATCAAAAATCCAGAAGAGTATTTTTATTTAGTAAACGGATAGTACTGGAGTACATGATATTAGAGGATGAATGCTTAAACCAGAAAGAAGCAGACCACAGTAAGCAGCAATATTAAAGCATATGGAGACTACACTAAAACTTTTAGCAAGGGAAGTTTTATTCTCCGCCATACACATCCCAGTAAAGCAAAAAACTAAAAATAAAGATAGAGCGGATGGAAAAGACACAGATGGAAAAACTTGAAACTTCTCTTATTGAATTCATAGCAACTAACCCAAGAGCAATAGCTAGCAAGTGTACTACCTACAGTTATGTCATATCCTGTGATATGCACCAGACATTTTCTTCAGACATGCTGCAATCAATGTGTCAGGAAAACTGACACCACAGTTGGGGGTGTCCGGCTATTACACGATCTTACCACAGAAGCATTTATCCAAAGTGACAGATTACTGCCTAAAGACTTTTTTATAAAAAGAAATGAGAGTTCTGTCTATGCAGAAGTAAACACACAAGCAATTGTACAATTACAAATTTAAAAGATTTTTTTCTCTAGCAATCTAAGGTTTCTTTTTTTTTAAAGGAAAAAAATAGGTCAGTATGTGAAATGAGAACAAATTTAATCGATGGATTTAATTTCCAGGCTGAACTTTAATTTTTTAGAAATAAAAGTAAGCAAAGTATAAGTATGCAAACTTATATGCATAAGTATATATGCATATATATGCAAAGTATAGTATTACATATATGTAGTATATAAAAGTGTATTATTACATATAAAGTATAAAGTATAGTATTACATATATGCTGCTTATGTAGTTTTAGGGGTAGTTACAGATTCTTGACTTTGGACCAGTTATTTGCTCTTTAAATTGTATAGAGTTTCGGCTAGGTGTCTGAAGAGGAGAAATAGCTTTTGGGCAAGTGATGCAGGCCAGGCATATGATAAAACAAAGCAAAGGGTTGCACTGAAATGAAATTGACTTTTTAGCAATCTCAAAATGTAAGACATGTAGAAGAATTTCTTAAGCATCCACCATTCTAGGTCCAAATCAGAATCCCCCTATACCACTTAGCCATGTTATGTTCCATGTGAGCTCTATCAGTTGCTCCCAGATGAGTTATCACCCCTCATTCCTTTAGAAAACTTCATGCAGTCATTACTGAACAGGCACCAGGTACTTAAGGTGTTACTATCAAGAGCAAAAATATAATATAGCCTCACCTTTCTTGTAAGGCTGTTAAAATCCCACATGCTCATCTCAGAACCATTGGGGAAATCCTCCTTTAAAGCCAGTGAAAACTTGACTATAGAAAGAGGAACCTACATTTTCCTCCTCTTTTGAAATCACCCTTTAAATTAGTTTAACAATTGGCATATTCATAAGGCATACAGAAGTTGTAGCAAACAAGTTAGTATTTCAGAACAGTATTCACAGAAAAATAAAATTATGAAGTTCAAAAGTCTTAACAGAAACCCACAAAGCAATCAAGCATTGTATTCTATCTACTTAAGGCTCTGCTTACCTCTCAGACCTCTTGCCTCCTTCTCTCCCCTATACACTGTAGAAAAGCCTCCTACATTTAAATCCAAACATACTCTAGATTTCAAAGCAATTAGCAAACCAATGCTTCAAATACGTTTTAACTTTAAAGTTTCTGCTTTTCAAATTATGAGTGAAGATTATGAGAAAGTTCAAGGCTAGCTGTTCAGTACTGTTGCCAATTCCGTTCTCTCATCCTCACCATCTCTCTGCCTTTTTGGTACAGTAAAAATATATGTGACCCCCTCCCCCACCCCACTTTTTTTTTTTTGTACAAGATCTTTTATTCTTATGATCTTCTACCCCCATTATGTAGTCACATTTACGTACTGAAATAGATATGACAAAAATACATTTGATGTGATAGCCTAAAGCCCTGAAAATGCAATCTTTAGTTGGAATATTTGCAAAATGTGATTCATTCTGTAGGTCTGCATAGACCATGACCTGCCCTGTACTTGCTTGCACGTGCTATCCTGAAGTAGGTGAATGTTTCACCACTGAAAGGATCCATGCAGTACTATAAAAATTACCCACCAGAGTTTCAAGATTTAATTTTTTTTTTGAAGCCAGTCAAAATTTTATTAAAGTATAAGCTTTCCTCACACATTAAGAATGAAGGAATTGTATTACCTTCATGCACTGTTATTCCACAGTTGTCACACTGGATTATTTCATCAGCATCCTCACTGTTATCTCCAAGACAAACGCAACAAATCAAAATATGGTCCATTTTCTGGGAACTCCAATTTTGGGACTTCTCAAGGATCAATGAATCCTAATTTTGAAAAATGAAGACAGATTATGACAGGAATTTCAATTTTAAATAAAACAAACAAAAGATGTGCTATTTGCTCAGTTTTTATTAAAAAAATTTGAAGAATTAAAGTTTCATATACTATTTTTTTGTCATTAAAACATTTAAACATTTCATCTGTAAAACTAAGAGCTTGGAGAAAGGATGGATACAATCTGATCGTGATATACCTAGAGTTCTGTTTAGATCTAAAGTCCAGCGACGGGTCTTATTTTTTTGAATAAAATCATATATTTCACTTTAACCTATCTTCTATAAACAGGAGCACACATAGACCCCTATGAAGCCATTTAAAAAGGAAAAAAAAAAAAAAAAAAAACAGAACCACCAGGACAAAACGTGACCTTCCATGTCCCAGTATTCAGAAAAGATGTTTCATTTTGTCAAAAATCAACAGATACAAAAATAAACTTCACACATGTGATAAAATTTGAAAACAAACAGCTAAGCCTGCCAAGTCTTCATATATGTAAAATATAAATTACTGACTCAGTTGTTTTATTTTGTTATATGCAGATATGTATGTCTCTATTCAAATCCTTATAACAACTTATTTTATTCTGATTTTATACAGGAGTAAGGATTTGCAGAGCAAATCCATTGTTCTGGTTTGGCTGCCTTCAGTGTGTACTACACCACTTAAAAAGACTGAGTTTTGACAGGGAATTTCTCTGAGGAAACAGAAGTGTTTCACAAGCCAAACAAACTGTATGCAAGTTTTCATTCTTTCCATAAACATCGCCTAGGTGTTTATTATTTTTAGCATAAGGTACACAGACTTCTGCAGTTTCCTGACTTCTATACGTTTTCTTCTTTTCTATACTAAAAGCAACACTGAGCTTCGACTGTCTTCATTGGTGATATACAGGCATACAGAGAAGTGTGAAACTAGGCATACTGGTGAAGCAAATCTCAACAGGATAAAAGAAAAACAGTTTCTGAGCAGAGATTTCCGACCAGTTTCTGAGCAGAGATCTAACATTTCAGGACTAAATGGCATCCTTACTTGAGATCTGAGAATATTCCGAAACCTCTGTGGTACCTTAAATAGGAAAAGAAAAAAAAAAAAAAAAGCTGGAAAATTCCTTATCAAACATATTTCTTTCTCCTCTCTCCTTATTTATGACTGAAAATATAGCACCAATATGCTTGCATACCCTAAGCAGTTAAAAATTACCATGAATGTTAACTGAGGTACACATTCTTCCTCAAGGATCTTAAATTTACACTGATCTACATAATTATTTTATGATAGTCTCTCAATCTTATACAGTAAGCCTCCAAACAAAATTTTCAGTGAATCATTGATGATGTCTCCTTGGTCTCTGTACTTTGGGTTTATCTAGGCAGGTATTTGGGGAGGGTGAGAGACATCTTTGCTTGATTTTAAAGCAAGATAAAGCAATAAAATGACCTAAAGCTGGTCTCAAATAGTTCACGTTAAATAAAAGAGGTGGCTTGTTATAATGTTTTTGATGTAGGAAAGCTCAAACACATACTTCTAGCAGTTAAGAAACGCTTTTGGATCTCCCGCTTATTTGCTCTAAAAAAAGTAAGAAAAGATGACCTATTTAAAAAAAAAAAAAATCACATTCATCTAGAGGTAAAAATGAAAGATTACACAACCATTCATAAGGTCGCACTTGTTTGCAGGAAGGCCAAAATGGTGAAGACAAGGTTTTCCCCTATAGAGTTCAGGCTTAACAAGCATTTCTTTCAACATCCTCCTTTTAAGACAAAGCTGTGACACACCTGGAGGGAAGCAAGAAACTTGCACATTTTTTTCAAAAAAAAAAAAAAAAAAAGAAACAGAACACAGTGGCCCACCATTACTTATAATGTGCACACATTGAGGAGATAGGCAACAATAAAAGGTGCTCCCTCACTCTGGCAGGTAACTGTTCAGTAGCACAGGCCTGTTGGAAGCATACAGAAATCAGCTTTTTCTGACAATACCTTGAACTTAAACTGGTATTTGGCTTCACTAACTTAAGTTTAAAAGAAATTTGCAACCTCTGCTGTCATAGAAGCCCAAGGTATGGTAATCACTAAAGCAAAACAAGTATTACTTTAAATGGAATTGCACTGTAAAAACAACACATCTGCAAACCTGGGCAAAAGAAAAGACCCAACCAGTGATGGATGGGCATCAAATGTAGAGCTAGGGTTAGGATCCACATCCATGATGCTTTACATTACGTGAAGACAGCCAACAGGTCAAACACAGAACAACTGAATAGCTTAATTTTCTACACAGACCTGTAGGTAGCAATCTGGAAGGCATGCTGTTCTGCCCTGTCCTGCCTTGCCCCATAGGTGACCCTACTTGCCTGAAGAACAGGAACCTTGAGGTCGAGGCAGGAACTCGAACCACCTGAACAGTGCCTGCACCCTACCCAAGTGAGAGAATGGATTTCATCTGCATCACTGCGTAATCCTCATTTCTGTGGTGGTAATGAAGAAAGCAAGTGTTTCAAGCTATATGCCTACCTACATATAAATTTAATGGAATCTTTACAATAAATAAACTCACTGGGAACAATTAAAAAAAAAAAATCAGAAAAGCGTCATTTATCTACTAATGATGCTTAATTCTAGAAAAGCAAGCTCAGTTTGTCTGCCTGTGCTTCACACAGTACAAAAGCGCCTAGTTAGGTGCACATTAGGGAACTGGTAAAAATACCATATACCCATACCTCAAAAGATTTTTGCAACATGCAGGAAAATAAAATGAAAATCGCAAACAAAAAATAAAGGGAGTTGGTCAGTAAAAAATGGAAATACACATACTAAGGCCACTACTACAATGTTCAGAGTTAATTACCTGAACATTCCTTCATGCAGTAATTATGCATTAAGACATCTGTTTTTCTAAGTACTTAGCTTCTGCAGCATAATGAGATTTCGCTTCTCTGCAAAACAGGACTTTTTTTCTCTCCAAACCTTTTATTAGAAAATATAGTAGTGGAAATTGCACTGTTAAAAATACAGTTGAATACTAATCTAAAAATTACAGTGCAGAGTCCAGTCTACAGACACTGTTACAAGACTTCTTGCTAGAAGGCCTTTTCACAAACAGTGCTCTGTTTTACATACACAGATAATTTATCAATAATAAAATTATTATTTGAACTTCAAGTTTTCAAATTTTTATTTTTATTTTTTGATTAATGTCCTAAATCCAAGGCAACAATTAATTCTGAGGGCTATACATATTAAGAAGCTTCCCAAAAAATGCAGCCTAACAGCTCTCTGTTTGTATAACAGGCCTAATTTTCCAAGTCAATGGAAATTAAGGACATATTCATATATCCTTAAGAATCTATTTTTGTATTTCCATTCTGATATGGGAAACAACACTGTAAGGAAACAGCCTATCTCAGAACGATGACTTGAAGTTCTTGTCATTGGTATCCGTAAAGTACGATCAGCTCCTGAGCTAGTGTATGAAAGATTTTTCCTCCTGCCAAAACCAGCTGTGAAGATGAAACCATTTCACAGGCCAAGTTAGCTGTTAACAATACAGAAACATTTAGCTTCTACAGACTGCAAATGACAAATTAAGTGAAAATAGATACATAAATAAATAAAAAGTACTTCATACACACCAAAGTGGCATCTAAAATACATAATAAGCCAAATTTGCAAACATCCCCATCCATACTAATTTAAAAACAGTAGATGCCTATATACAACGTACAAAAAAAAACCACCTAGAATTATGGATTTTTTAAATCAGTTATTACTAGTAATTAAAATTGCACAGCTTGCTTGCAATCATATATTAATAGATATTATTTATAACATAACAAGGTATCTGGAACAGAGACCACTCATTCTTCAAAATATTCTTTTTAGTTCTCATTAAAATAAAGATGAAATAAAACAGGCAGAACTTTAAATAGTGTCATATCATTATCATTTATCAAATGTTTCATTAACACTGCAATTATTTCCTGAAAATGAAATGTCGATTTTACAGTAATTCTTTTTACTCTGTTCAGGATTTTGCTATTGTAGGATATGAAATCAACCATCCTGACAAGCTAATATGTTAATTTTTCCACAGGCACAACCTCTAAGGCAACTGTAATTGTGCATGGAAAAAAAAAGTGTCATTATTAGACACAACATATAATTTTCAGATTCTGCAGTTAGACATGTAGTAATAATAGTCCCCAAATGCTTCTTAGCACTGTAAGAATTTACTTCACCTGTGTGCATTATAAACAAAACCAACATAGATTATCATGATTATCCTATTTGATTTTAAATCCAACTGTGCGTATTTCTTTGGTTAGAATTCTTCTATCAGTGAACTTAGCACTCAGTCTTTGACATCTGTCACAAAGAAGGGCTAGGATAAAAAAAATAACCTATTATTTAGCTATTTTAAGAACATGCAAGATGCTTTTAACTTTTATAATATTACAGATGTGGAACATTTAGGCAAACTATCTCACTGATACATGCTGATTTGCATACCAGACCTCCTATTTACTTTAGAAGTAGCCCACCCATCCCCAAAGCCAAGAGAAGTCTGTCTATTGACTTTAGAGGCAATAGATTGGCCAAATGGTCCAAGGAAGTTTATTTAATAAGCAGTGAGTGCCTATTTAGCACAGTTTTGCTGCTTCGTTAAACATAATTCAAGCCAATCAATTCAACTTTTCAAACTAACAGAATAGCACTGTGGAGTAGTTTCCATTTCTCAACAGATATATTATAGAAAGTTGGTTGCACTACCTCATTACTCTTGCTTTGTGAAAGAGCCAGGCTATCATTTGTCAGTTCCTCATCATCTGCATTATTTCTGTTAAGAACTTTACTCTTCTTCTTCTTGGATCCTCCATCGCTAGCTGTGCTGCTGTTATCTTCTTCGTTACCTTCCTCATCATTGTCATCCTCATCACTTCCACTCCCATCATCTTCATCATCCTCATTATCTCCATCACTCCCTTCTTTTCGCAGTGCATTTTTTCCTTTTTTTTTCTCAGGAGTAGGCCGCCAGTCATTGTCATCTTCACTGTCATAATCATCCATATCATTTAGTTCTTCCATTGATACGAAATCCAGTAAAGGCCGGTTCCTGCGCAAATTCCATTTTTTGGGTTCACTAGTTTGCTCATCAGCCACAGCATCAGGTTCAGCTGCTTTCTCTTTTTCTTTCTTCTTTTTGGGCTTTTCTTCTTCATCTTCTTGCTCTTTCTTTTCAGTTTTAATTACCTCTTTGTCTGCTGTCGGCACCTCTTCTTCAGTGGAGCTCTTTGGCTGTTGCTCTTCTACTTTCTCTTCTGTTGGTTCCTCCTCCAAGACATTTTCTTCTGATTCAGTACAGGAACCTTCTCCACTGTCCTTTGATGCATCTTCACTCCCATGACCACTTCCTTCAGAATCTGTTGAGCATATGAAAATTTAAAAAATGTTCCAACACAAATGTACCCCCAAAAATAAAATGTGCTGAAGTTGTTAAACAAAAAAACGATGCATATTCCTCCCTCATAAGGTAGTCCACCTATTTTTTCAGTTGGAGTCCAAATACTGCTATTTCAAGTGGCATGTTGAGAATCTGTTAAACATGAGTGCATTTTAAGATGGAAAAAAAAGATGGTAGAATTTATTAAATGAACGTTTAATGTTCCTCTGAACTGCAGCTCATACTAACAGTAAGAAGTAGCACAGAATAATTTCCATATGAAATCACATCTCAATGAAAGAACATTTAGGTTTTAATTTTTGAGGTGTTTCCTAAATCTTAAAAATATTTGAAATAGCTATCCAACAGGAGAGACTTAAAATGAAAAAAAAAATTAAGAAGTTTATATAACAAGTACTGCTTAATAATGTGGATAATCATATCCTTAATTTCTGGTACAGGTTTATTTTCTGGTTTGGGGGATTCTTTTAACTACAAATATTATTTCACTTATTAATCCCACATAAACTATGACTCATTCAGCACTGAAGCTGCACAACAATGCTTAAATTCTAACCTTATACAATTCAGATGATATTGTTCTGTGTTCAATCACTATCTCCATTAATTAATACTGGCCAATCTGTGCAACAGAAAGGAAGAGGATTCATATGCAGAACCCACAAAAATAAGGCAACCATCTGTACTGTAAAGAACATGTAAAAATTACTGGAAAGGATGCCAAGTCTTAAACTTGTTAAATTTTATCAAGATCATCCATCTTCCATCTTATATTCTACTACTACTTTTCATTTACAGCATTAGTTGCAGCATTACACAAAGAAAAAGTCAGAGAAGACTTTTAAAAAATTAAGTTAAAAAATTAAAAAAAAAAAAAGTTGCTTGATCCAATGGATCAAATGGGCAATGGCTACTGCTTTCAGTTTAAATTTTCAGAGCTATCATCAGCTTCCTGAGGTACTGTCAGATGTTATAAAATAGATGCAGAGAAGAAACATGTTGGTACTCAAACATTTTTTAAAAGTCCTTATTTACTTTACTTACCCCACACACACACAAAGTTACACCAAGTATCAACAAGAGAGAATTTCCATGCACATCCATCTCTTTATAAAGCCAAATAAAGAAACAGTAGGGACAACGCACTAAGTTAAGTAAATTTTGTAAACATGCTGCACACTTGAAACATGCCCTTTATTTCCACCCCACGGTGCTCTTGTCTACAATTGAGCATTAACTCAGTTGTTACATAGGTATGTTGGTTAATTTGGGGTTTTATGGGTATACCTGTATGTAGAAGTGTTAAGTATATGATGAAATTATATAATTATCAACAGCAACAACAGAAAATACATCGGTGCTGCTACTACTGCTGCTCAGAATATTATTGTTATCAAGGGAATGATAGTCCCCTTGCAAGTTGCTAAAAGAATTTTCCTGTAAATGTTTTACCTTTCCGAGAGCCCGGAAAAGAAATGAACACAGTAACAGAAATTATTGTAGTCTTTTGCTCAAAGACTAATTCAATGATTCCCCTGCACCTACAAGCCTTAATGGCAGTAATGGAAGCACAAGCATAATAACATAAGTTTCAAAACAGTAGAATACTCTTTAGGCATGCCTAAGAACTAAAACCAGTATTAACCAGATATGCAATCTAATATATGAATTTTATATTACAATAGCTTTCTTTGGATCAGGAAAGTGTTCATGAGACCTAACAAATACAAGTATGTCAAAGTTAGACTTACTCTAGACATTTGATAAATGCTAAATGTAAGTTTGATGACAAAATTTATTTTTGTTTCTCATTTCACAGGATCTACTGTCAATGTGCCAATACTTACCTCACTGTACAACCGGATAGAGCTTTGTCATGTTAAAATTAATTTCACCAGATTTTTATACTACCTTATTTCATATATATACATAAATATTACACATTGCATACTTAAATACACTCCCCCAGTATAGTTCCAAGACAAATAATATAAGATTTTTGGATGCTTTACTTGTGCAGTTGCATTTCTAAATATGCTTGGATTTCTTGTGAATTAAAGCTTCTACTTCATTTTGGGGCAGAATCTCGGTCTGGGGATCATTTCCTTTCAAAGAGCACTTCAAACTATCAACAGTGATTTTTTACATCAACACTATGGCACTAAGAACACTCCCTAGCTGCCATATGCCATGCAAACAATATAAAAACAGAACAAGTAAACCCTGGTTTCATTCACTTCTCACCTCAAATTCTCATTGCCTTTGACTGCACATTATGGTTTGTATTTTTCTATCTGTAAGCATGTACATACCAGAGATACTTATACTAAGGGATATCTTTCTTCCATTTAAATGCATCCACTGCAATAGGTACTTCTCTAGAAAGCGCTGTTCTGCGATAACAGCTATTTTTGCAGCAGTTCTTCTGTCAGATGCACTTTCAGTTAGGAAGAAGCTGTAGTATACAATTTTCTCCTTGAAAGAAATTCTTAAAGAATGGCTCTTTCAAATTGGCAACCATATCATGTCATTCCCTATGGGACAGAAGTCAAGCTATTCTCAGCAAAAGATGGGGCCAGATACACTGTCAAACAGTGAAGAATATAGAGTTCCACTGAGAACAAAAATGAGAGATAGCAGTTGGGAAAGAGGCATCATTTACTTCTGTACAACTTGTAGCTGTAGCTGTGTAGCTACTGCTGAGCACAGCAGCGGGTGGCAGTCATATCCAGAAGGGGTAACTGTGAGGAATTCTCCTGTACACAACATTTTGCTCCAGAATTAATGTTAGGAAAAGTATGATGAAGGTAAACAAAGGTGACACTAAACACCACTTCGCTGCTTTCAAATACATACCAAGCACAAGACTGAGGAAAGCTACTACATTACTGAAATCACTACAGCAGTTAAAAAAAAAAAAATCCATCAGGGTTTTTGTAGGGCCATTTAAAAAGCAACTAAACGCTCTACCCTATAATTTTTTTTAAACATTCTAAGAAAATTCATGTATATGGAGAGCAGGGGCTAAATTATTACAGCACGTGACTACTCACAGAAGACTGATTCTTCAATGCAGTATTTAGTTTAACAAGCAGCTCTGTAAAAAGCTATTTTATCGATCGTTTAAGTGAAGTTTGAAGGATAAGCTAGTTCCAAAACATCAATCACTGGCTCAATTTTGGTCTTCCCTCTTATGCTGGCAAAGCCTAACCAAATCCAGATAGCAGAAGAGAAGCAGCTGGCACTATGTGGAGGTATGGCAGGATGCTTCACAGCACCTTCTTTTGGAGGGCAGTAACAACAACAAATATTGGCTATAGGAGAGGTTAATTCTTTGGGAGGTGAAAGCAGATCAGTTACGATCACCCTGTTCAGCAGCCCCTTACCCTCTTTCTCCCAATCAGAGGGCAGACAGTGAATCTTTTGATTATGTTAAATTCCCTGTTTATCTTTGCTAGAAGCCCATGTTACACATCACACAAACCCCCCTCACCCATGTTGCTTGCATCCTGACAGACAGGAAAAGTGCTGGATAAACTGCCTGGCCACAACAGCCTCTGCCCATAAAAAACTTTCTTTCTTAGAAGAACAGCTCCAAACTCACAGAATCTCCTTTGCACACGGGTAAGAGAAGCTGCATTTCCAACGTATTTGAACTAGAAATTGCAATTAATTTTAAATACCTTAAGGAAATGTTCAAACCAACTAGAAAGCTCTGATTTTAATAACTAGATGTTAAAAGAAAAAAAAGACAGGGAAACTTCAATGATACATGAAAAATACGAATTTTTAAATTGCCAAAGGCAATGTTATGTAAGTGGCAAATTTCTGATCACATTTGTCTATTAGACTAAAGCCATCAAGCTCCACTATGCTAAGACTGATTAGCACACAGCTGCATGGAAAGCAAGAGTGGAAATGGCTTAACACTTCTCTTTGAACATAACTTCAAATAACAGAACCTAACGTCAGTTAGGTTTATGACACTGGCTTTCTGTACTATTTTGCAGAGTGAGATGATATGGTTACTGAAGTATTTAAACCTTGGTAGGCTATTGGCAATTCAATATTGTAATGCTGGCAATTAAAAAATCAGAACTGTTTGAAGGAACATAGTTATCATACAGAATAAAATCAAAGCTGATTAAGGTATTTCTGTTCTTTGGAGAGAATTTCACTTCTAAAACAAGAGTTGAGAAAAAAAAAAATCGAACTGAACACAAAGACTGGGCAGCCCAGGAAATGAAACTGATTACTCTTCTTTCAGAAAGTATTCAGTTTAATAGGAGAAAAAAGACAGAAAGACATAAATTAAAGTTATTTAGTAAGCAGTTTCCTCACTTCTACTCCTCAATTACATCACACTTCAGCAGACACCTACTCAAATTTGAAGTGTTCAAAACTTTACGTTCTCAAATGTGCATTAAGTCAGTAAGAATTGCTTCAATTTACAATGCTGTAACATGGGTGGAATGGGTTATCCTACCTCCTGAACTCAATTGACATTTCCCAGCTTCAGAGCCTTCATCTGTTTTTACTGTTATAAAACTTCTCTCATTTGGATGAACTATTACATGTCCCATGCCTTCCCTCAGCCAACTTGCAGTCCTGAAGTAATCCACACAATTGGATTCCAGTACAACTTATTATGTAGTGAGCTTGAACATGTATTTTTCCCAGAAACGTCCATGAGCTCATGAGCTTTGTGTCTTTTAAGAGGGATGTGACAGGTAGGAGACTAAGTCTCTGAGCTACTGTAACAAGTCTCTGCTCAAGAGACACTTGAAACGCGCCATCCTTAATAAGCAGAGGTGACTGGATTGCTAGTGGACCATCCCACCAAGTTGGAGTTAATAAAGCTCAGAATGCTCTCCATGCACCATAAAAATGCACAAGAGATGGACACATACATGCACAATAAGAGGAGATGCAAGACAAAAGTAGAAATAGTGTAGCTAAGTAGAAGACCATGAGTCCAAGTAGGCATCCTGTCTCAGCACAGACTGAACAAGCAGAACACCACTGAACAGGTCAACAATGGCTCTCTAAGGGACATGCTGTAAAAGTAAGACACAAAATGTCACAGCACAGGAAAACAAAGAAAAACAATGTTATCCCATCATAAAACCCAACCAGCCCAGGCACTGAAACGAAACCCTGGATGGCTCTTAAATTACTCCTCTGCTGTCAGATAACATATGGAAGAACAGAAATCTCAGCATTTCCAAAGAAAACGCATGTTCAAAATGCCAGTCAGCCACCCCAAAGCACCTTCAAGTGGTAGACACCTGTACGGTAACAGATCTCACTTGGGATGAAGATAACCCAAAAGAACATAATGCCCATATTTTTCACCTCCTCAGAGACAAAAAAGACATTGGCAATTCCATTCAGAACCATGCACTAAGGTTGCAATGTCAAGTCTTCAAAAGATTTTAATTATTAAGTAAATTATCAAGTAATTGCACAATGATTAGCTATTCAATATTTCCTCTTACCTTCACTGTCTAGTGAAACATCCCACAAGTTCATTCTCAAAAACAAAACTGTTAGTTTCTTTATCAATATTTCACTAGTGTTTATCACTATTGCCTTTTGGTGCTCTGCAAACGTGCCTTTACATCAGAATATCCTTCACAGGAAAGCAGCAGTGGAATTTTTATTGTACTAATAGGAAACGAATTACAGAAAGATATTTGCAACATATTTCCAGATCAAGTCACTGCTTTTTCAAAATACCTAGTGTATTCATTTACATAGATTGTTACATGCTTTAAACAGAGCTCCTACTGGCCTCAATTACAGTAACAGTATGTGGCATTTGTGTAGGTCATGTTCCATGATCAAGAGATCAACATTAAAAAAAAAAAAAAAGATATTTACACGTGCCTCTAAAATTTAGGTCTAGGAGATGTGCAGCAGAAATAGTGACAGAATTCAGCTCTTGGAGGCAGAATTTAACTCTACTCTTCTTAGTTACGCTAAGGAAGAGGCTCAGTCCTTACATTTACACATCATTCTTGATCAGGGACCAAGATACATAAATTTCTCTGCATCATTTCAGTTTTAGTGTGTGAGCTGCCTGAAGTGACTGATTTCAGTGATGAAAGAAGGGAGAAATCCCTGCTTTGGAATCCTATTGGGAATTACCCTACAACTATACACTGGTTTCTGACATCACTGCTGCACTCAGTGAATTTAAAAACAAAACCAAACAAAACCAACAACAAAAATCACAAGGGATGTTCTAATTAATTCAAAAGCAAAACTTCAAATAACTAGTCTTTATTGTGAATCATATTATTAAAAAACTTCAGTTGAGTACATTAGAGCACCATCATTTCAAGTCACACAGCGGTATTCTCTGACTCCAACTGGACGTTGTTTTTCATTGATCTCACTTTAAGACTACATACAGCACTCCTATTAGGAAACAAAATTTTGAAGATGTTTATAAGTAAAGAAAATATACAGTACCTTAAAATAATGGCACTATTACTTTACTATGTAGAAACAGTGACAGAGAAGTTTTAAGAATTACTTAATTCAGTAATGCAAAGCCAACAGACCTGAAAACTATTTTCATTAAGTAAATTTGCAATAATATAACTGTTCTAAAATCAGTTTCCTTAAACAGATGTTACAATTTTTCTTTAGAGTAGAAAAGTCAATAATTACCTGTTGGCATAACCTAAACCCAAAAGAAAATAAATTAACTACACTGTAAGTAAAGGGCATATCCCCTTCAGGATGTTTGTGGTGAAAATGGATGTTGGGTGATTAGAAATATTTTCTGTAATGAAAGAAAACTTTATGAAGGCATCAGGACTCTGAATACAGAAATTCAGAAATGATTATTCCTTCCTGTACTAAACACCAATCATAATCGGTGTTCTCAAACCCTTACTGCATCACATATTCCCAGAAATATGAAAGAACAATGAACACACATAAAAGTTTAAATGTTCAGGATTTAACCCTCCTAGACTTGCACATTATCATCTACTACCACATATCACTTAACATCCTAAAGCTCATACATATGGATGCAACATAATCAACAGGGAGTAAACAACTTCAGAACTATTTTAATTCAGTATTTAAATAGTCTTTGAACCTATAGGTGTCTTTTTTTTTTTAATTTAAAAATTGCTACATATATCTGCATTTGTGAACCAAATAAAGATACATTGCAGAGCTGTGGAATTACCATACTTACAAAATCTTTCCGAGTCATAAGTAGACTTTATAGTCATTTTCAATGTAGAAAAACTTTCTTCTTTCTGTCACAGTTTGTTTTTTTTATTGATTTCCCTTAATAAACAAATTGTGCAATGAAATTCTGAATTCAAACAAATACTAAATATTGTACATATACAGACTGATTTGCAACAGGCTGTACAAGGAGAGATCTCTAACATCACTGAAAGAAGAAACCCTGACTGTAATGGAGAATTGCACATTATTCTTTGAAGGCTAAATTCCCCAGTGAGCAAAAGGAAAATCTGTTTTCTATCAGCAACAATTCAGAATATGTCTAGTACGGGTGCTTGCGTATGTACACACAACATTTTTTTAAACATACATACATATTTTTAAGTGATTGATTTTATTTTTCATATAAAGGGACTTGTGTTTATATTTATATATGCAAATACATATATACATAAATATGCATACATATTTATAAAGTCCCTTTATTTCAGTACCTCTACCATCCAAATCCGAATGGATTAAGTACAACCAAATTTAAGGTTTTTTTATATGAACCTCATTTAAAATCAGCACAGACATCCTATTTCAAACATACTGCAGCTATCCAAATAAATTGTATGACACAAAAGAACAACTTTTCATCCACTTTAAGAGTTTAGACATTTAATAACTTCATATTAATACCTTCTCCAAACCCTCAAAACTTCTTCCTTTCACAATGAAGAAAACCTTTGAATAAAGTGTAAAACTCTTCTGTTTCAAAAATCTTTTCACTTAATCTTATATTTTATTAAACAGAACATTAATTTTTCCTACAAGTATATCTAGGACCTGACGTGTCAAAACAAAGCTATATGAGACATAAAACCACAAAAGAGTAACCAGAAAAAAACGTTTTCTAATTAAAACTTGTTTTTTTCTCATTATATAGTTGTTTCCATGAAGTGTTACTCTATAAAGAGAACTCCCATTCAACTTCCTCAAAACGCAACTGAAGTTGAAACGCTCTTGAGGCTAGACAACTGTTCCCATATGTACATATGCATCCTAAAAGTCAAAGAGGTTATCAACTAAAAAAGTGTCCTCCGCATCCAGACAAAGTTGAGTCAGGAAGCTCTATTCATTACTTTTAGATAATGATTAATTATCTTTAATCACGTAACATATTGTTCTGGATTATGTGTTCATGTCCCATACTCCATTTCCAATTCTCCTTTCCCCTTTAAACCAGCCTATGCTACAATTCAAAAACAAGGATGTTTTCTTTAGTAAATAAAGGCCACTTCCTCTTATGGCAACTTTTCATTACAGTGTAACTACTTAATAAGAAAAAAATAAAAATACTTAAAGCAAAATTTAAAAGGTAAATTAACCCCCAAAACTTTACATAGAATTGTTAAGACAACATCTTTCCCTTAAGCCACTGCAGCCTGCTTCTGCCAAACCAGCCAAGGAGAGTATGGCTAAGTTGGGGAGGAAGGTGGGGAAGCATTAGTCTACACCGTAAAACTGGTACAGGTGAAATGATCATTACGCTTTTCTTAAGTTCATTAATAACGAAGACCTTGCCAGATGATAAAATGTCTTTACATGGAGATGGGGAATATCTTTGCAAGACAAATTCACATGAAAACATAAATCTGTGTCTCCAGTGCAGAAATGAAAAACTGAAGGTATTTGACAAGATGTCATAATGCTCCCTTACATCTTTTATATATATATATATATGTCTTTGCTCATTTCCCCGAGCACATGCCAAAAAGCATCCTGTGTACAACTTATTCACAAGCATGGTCCTGCTCCTTCCCCCTTATTCCACTACCCCCCTCCCCAATGTACCTGAGTTTTATTCATTTAATTTTAGTATCTTTTTTATATTTTCAGTTTCTGTGGAAATTCACTGCAGATACAGGAATCTGCATACACAGAAAAGACTGCAGAACAAAAACACTCAGAGGCAAGCACTTCCTTCTGGTATGAAATGTTTCTGTACAGCTATCAGAGCAGACACGCAAAGTTTGTCTATTATAATAAAAACCTGAACAGATCATCATTCTACCTAAGATGTTCACTTGCTGAGTGGAGTTAACCTTAAGAAATTAGGCGGGTTCTTCAGTCCAGAAGAAATTATTGCCCAGGCTAAATCAAAGCAAAATGGCTTTAGGGCAGTTACTCCAATACTAAAAGAAGTGAACGGTTTAAAGTTATCATTAGGCTGAAGAAATGAAAAGCAATACACTTCGCTAAGAGAGTCAACACAGAAGATGCTCAAACGCTTCTGCCAAAACGTGTTTGTTAATTAAGTTTTCTGTTGAGAAAAAAACTATTTGCAATTGAAGTAGTATACAGATCCCTCGTTTAATCAGTTGTTTCATATCTGCAGCATGAAAATTTCCTGTTATGCACCTGAATCAGTTCAAGCGAGTCCAAGCCCCAATAGTTCACTAGCCCCATCCCATCTCCCGTATGTTAAACGAGCAACCACACACCAAAAGCCAAGAAAATTCTGAAGCAGGCAGACAAACACATTTACCTGAAGCATCTCCAACTTTAAAGTCACTGTCATCAGAGCTATCATAATCTAAAGCCTCCAGCAGCGAAGCCGCCAAAGGCTTCACCTGCCTCCTCTTCGAGCTGCGGTCCACTGCGGGGAAAAAAAAAAACAAAAGCAGAGTGTTGCTGTTAGCTGGCACAACGCGCGGCACCGGGCTCACACGGGACGAGCCGGGGGCAGCCCCCCGGCACCCCACACCGCACCACGGGCAGCCGAGGGCGACCCCCAGCCCCCCGCCCGCTCGGCTGCCGGCACCAGGCTCCAAGGGGAGGTCTCCGGCCCCGCGGCCCGGCACCCCCGGGAAGGGGCGGCCAGAGCCGCCGGGCCCCACTTACTGAAGACGGCGCCGCTGCCTCGACCCCTCGGGCACGGAGCCGCCGAGCCCGGCCCGGCCGCAGACAATGGCCCGGCGCCGACCCGGATGCGCACCCGCGCCCGCCCGCCCGCCTCTCTGCCTGCCGCCGGCACGGCGCATGCGCGGCCTCGCCGCGTTTGCGCGCAGCGAGGTGAAGCCGAGAGGGGCGGCGGTGCCCGCAGTCTGCCCGGCGGGCGGCCACAGCCTGTGGGGGTACGGGGAGACCCCGCAGTCAGGCCGTGATGCCGGGTGCCGTGTTGTCGTGGGCATTCACCCTCAGAGCCTCGTGGAGTGGGAAAACGAGTTCAAAAAATAAACATAACTCCCCCCCCAAAACGCCTTGCTCGGTTCCCCCGTGTGGAGATGAGGCAGTGTAAGGCTGCTTTTGTTACAGAGCTGTGCTCGGAGCTGGGTTCCCTCTGGGATGGATGCACGCGTTGTGTTCGCACCCTCACGCCTGCACTCCTGGCAACTGAAGTAGGGTTTGTAAAGTGCACAGCCCGAGCTGAGAGCCTGTGCAGCATCCACAACGGCTCTGCCCGCATCCCCCACGGATGTTTCTGCAGGCCAACAGTCTTCTCGCTATTGCAAAGTACAAATAAGCACATGCATAGTACATCATGAGTGTTGTTATAAATGAAGTCTCATCTCAATCTGAACTTAGTAAGATTTATAAAAGAAATATTTATAAAAGATACAAAAGGCAAGTGAACGGCGCTGGGTGTGCAGGGACTCTACGTGCCACCAACACACATACACGAACATTAAACATTCTAAATACACAGAACATTGCTTTTACATACTAAACCCGAGTATGCCTATACAATCAGAAAAGGTAACAAACAATCCTGTAAGTTCCATGACTTAACAGTCTCTATTTTCCATTCCTTTTCTTGATTACAAACAAGTCTCCATTTTCCATTCCTTTTGAACAATATGTCTTGCTTTAAGTTGTCAAGCAACTCGGCCTTCGGGCCTTATGTATCCCGTTCTTCCCAGATCGAAGAAAAGCATATCCATCTCCTTTTGAAGGCCAATAGGCCTGGGTCAAAAGGCACATCCAGGTCACTAGGGAGTGTAACAGCAAAGGCCTTCGACAGTGGTAGCAGTGGAGGGGCCGATGGCGTAGCAGTCGGATCAGTAAACAAGCCCGCAGCTCCCTTGCTATCTGACAAACCACACGTTTCTGACTGGGGTCCCACATGGCTCTTTAAAGCCTCAGAGACTTTTCACCAGATGCCGAGCAATCCCACTGCAACCTTGTCGTTTTTAGTTTCAGAGTCCCACACCTTGTCCTCAGTTTGGTCCCATATTTCAGGATCATAAACTGATTGTTAATAAGGAGAATAAGCTGTAAGGTTACCAGGACAGTCTTTGTTCCTAAGGACATATGATTCCCCATAATCTGCAACTGCTTACCAGCGAGGGGCAGTTGTGTGCGCAGCTCCGCTTCTCTCAGCTTGAGCTTCTCTCCAGCTCCAGTGCGCCCATTTCCAACAACTTTCTGTACGACCTTCTCTGAGCGGTTTGCTGAGTTTGATGAACCTATCTTCATGAGGCGATCAATGTGCCTGTTCCCATCATGGTCTCCGTTCCACTAGCCTGTTCCTTTTCATTCCTTCTTTTTACTTCTTTATTGATGACATAACTTCATTATATCATGTTGCCTTATTTTATCTTGAGGACAGGCTCCGCTTTTATACCCTTCTCCCCACAGCAGTTCTTTTCAAAACAACTTTTAATTGGTCAAACAACTTTGCATATAACAATAGCAAACACCCAGAAACTTCCATGCCTTAACGCTTGGAGAACAAGCAACCCGAGACTGCATGGAGTCTCCTAAATCAGCCTTTTTTGTTCCCTCTGAACTCTTTTACATTCCTGATGGCCTCATCATTAAGAGTCTAATGTTATCATTAACCACGGGGCTTTCCAAACCCCATGGCCACACTCCCACATCTCCCCCTTCTTTATTAATATCAGCCATTTTGTCGACACAAATTACCACTCCATATATAACAGGTGTATTAGTCTTTTTTTACTTAAGTACACCATACTGATGACTGGTTAGCCTATGATGTCTTTTTCTGCTTTCAGAAATTTGAAATACTTTAAATATGTATATTTTTTTGATTTTGAGTACAGTGGAAGGAAAAAAAAAATCCAAGGAAAATGTTTTCTCTGTGTCCTTTCTGTAACTGAGTTTCCTACTTTTTTTAAACACATTACCACATCATTACTTGGTGTGTTCACACCTGTTCCCTCCACTGGTACTTTGGCTACATAGCCTGAGTGCACCATGAACACCTTTCCTGTTCATGTTCTGCCAGCCCTACCTAAATTAACTATCTACCCATGCAGTCTAGTGTTCCCTGCTTCCCTGTTCCCTTAGGACATGTGTCTTAGATTTGCATGCCCAGAGTGTTGTTTGTTTGTTTGTTTGTTTTTCCTTTAACTGGCATCCCCATCCTACTTTCTCTTCACACAAAATGTCACTCAACATGACACATGGGGGGCTCAGCTCTTCATTCACACTCTTCAGCTCCATGCTCAAACACACAGCAGCAAGTTCTGCACAATCTCCTGCTTGCCAAGGTGACAAGCCCCTGATCCTGTCATGTACATGGTTTGGGACAACTCAGAAGGACTGCAGGTGGAGGAATTTTAGATTCTTTTACATGCAAAAGTAGAATTAGATGATTGACCTGAGTGATCAGTTAAAGTCAAAGCTGAGTGTGAGCAGCTGCCAAAAGGAAAACGGGAAGCGGTCAGTCCAAAATTTCCCCTTCCTCCCCCCTTGGATGCATCCTTAAAAATTGGTCTAAATTTGGTGGTGACTTTATGACAAAGGGTAAAATGAGGCAATATTGTGATCACGTATGGCCTCAATATAAACTGAACAATGGGGAAAAATGGCTAAAAAAATAGATCTTTGAATTATAATACTATGTTGCAATAGATGTTATTTTGCCAGCAGGAAAAAAAAAAATGTCACAAGTATGTTAAAGCTTTTATGTCATTCTATCTGGATCTGAAAAGTCACGCTGAGTGCATATTGTGGGAAGATATTATGCTATGCCCTGAAAATAAATGAGGGAAAGGGAACAATAAACCCCCTAAAATTTATGCAGATCTAGAACAAGAAGAGGTTCAGTTATTGGTACCCTTGGCATCACCACCATATAATCCAGGGGAGAACTCAAATGTTTCTCCTGCTTCCAAAGCTTCTGAAGGGACATCAGAGGCCCCTCCTGAGGCATGGATTTCTGAGGCTCCTGTGGGGACATCACAGGGCTTTCCTGAGGCTCGGGCTTCCACTACCTCTGTGCGGACATTAGAAGCCTCTCCCGAGGCCCAGGGTGATTCCAGTTTTAGCCCCATAGCACATCACACACAACAGAAGACGAGGCCTGTTATCCAGGCTCCACTAATTAAGGCGGTGGGACCACAGGGAAAACCTGTTTTTGTTCATGTTCCTTTTACAACATCAGATTTGTTAAATTGGAAACAAGGCATTGGATTTTATAGGGATAATCCTGCAGCAATGAACCAGTTGTTAGAGACTATTATGATTACTCACAACCCAAACTGGGGGGATATGCAAGCTTTATTAAGCATCTTTTTTACTGCAGAGGAAAAGACAATGGTTTTAGAAAAAGCTCAGGAAGAGATGAGGCAGAGGCACCCATGAGGAGAGGCAGAAGAATTAGTACTGATTAAGAAAGATTCTAAGTGGGACCCAAATACCAGCAGGGGTCAGCAATTGATAGAACAATATCGACAATTAATCCTGTATGGGATTCAACATGGGATACCAAAACCAAATAACCTCTCTAAATTATATGAGGTCCACTAGGGCCTGGATGACAGCCCGTATGCTTTTTTTTGAACATCTCTGTCAAGCAGCCAGAAGGTGGATGGATCTAGACCTGGAGGACAAAAAAAATAGGAAAATGCTTCTCATCCTGTTTATATAGTAGTCGACCCCAGGCATTAGGAAGAAGCTGCAGAAGGTAGAGGGGCGTGCAGGAATGTCAGTCTCACAGATGACTGAAATAGCCTATAGGGTTTACAAGAACTGAAAAGCAAAGAGAGAGAGGAAAAATTAGAGGTTTTTGCAGCAGCTATAGTAGGCATACAGGGAGGTTGTCGGAGAGAAAGAGGTAGAAGTAGAGGTGAAAGAGGAGAATTTGCAGGAAGGCGAGGGCAAGAGGAGCAGGCAACGGAAGCACAGAAGACTTCTCACTTGGGCTCCAATCAGTGTGCGCTCTGCAGGAAGGAGGGGCACTGAAAGAGGGAATGTCCACTGAGAGGGAAAATGCAAGCAGGCAGTGAGGAAAGAGATTGTGCTTTGATTATGCTGGAGGACTCGAACTGATGAGAACCAGGGGATGAATCTCCAGTTTCCCCAGCAAATCTCCTGGTTCCACTGAAGCTGGGGGGAGAAATAATTAATTTCCTTCTGGATACCAGAGCAACTTATTTGGTAGTAATAAACTGCAAAGGACCTTTAAGTAAAGTAAAAATCCTGATCATCAGGGTGACTGGGAAGCAGACTTTGAGACCTTTTTTACAACCCATGGACTGTGAGATTGAAGGGAAGGTTTCAATGCACCAATTTTTATATATGCTTGCATGTCCCTTCTGTTTGTTGGGAAGAGATTTATTGTGCAAACTACATATGCAGGTAACCTTCTCTACAATCAGAATAAAGGTTAAAATCCCTCCTGAAAACAAATGGCCAATTTTTTTTTTTTTTTTTATTGACAAAAACAAAGACAGAGGAAAGCCAGCAAGTCCCTCAAGAGGTATTAAACACAGTATCTTCTTTCGTATGGGCAGGAAAACAGCCTGGGAGAGAAAAAAATGCACTCCCAGTTCAGACTGAGCTAAAAGCAGGAGCTATACCCATACGAGTATCACAATATCCAGTCAGCCTTACAGCAAGGAAGAGGCTGGAGCTGCTAACAGACAATTTCCTATTTTACAGGCTAATCCATGAATGCCAATCTAGTTTCAACACCCTAATACTACCACTAAAGAAACCAAATAGCAGTAAGCATAAGGTTGTGCAAGATGTGTGAGCCATAAACAAAATAACTGAAGACATCCAGCCAGTGATGACAAACCCTTATACCCTC